GTTGAATGCGAAAAATTTACCTAAAAAATTATACCTGATAAATTGGAAGGAATAAAAAATAATTTTTATCTAAACTATTTTGATAATTTAATATTTAGAACTTGGAATTTGACTTACCGTTTATTTATATAATTATGTAAATACAACTGATTTATTTAACAATAATTTTGAACCGATTTAAGCCTTACAATTTTGGTTTAAAGCTTTCGACTTGGTTACCTTTAGGGTAGTGCAAAAATTATAAATCATAGGATCTATCGAAATACATAAGATTACTATGTACAATTTTGGTGGGTTTACAAAACAAATAGATGCTTATGCAATTCATACATGGAAAGCTTTTGTACATATGAAAATATTTGACTAAATAATATAATAAATTAATAAAATATGTATGAATAAAGTATACCGACATTCCCAACAAACAATTCTAAAAGTACACGATTTCAAAGTTTTGATTAAATTTTAAAGTGTTAAATTAAAAAGTTTTATTAAAAATAAAGAAAATTATTATATAAAATTCTATTTAGTACAGTTTGGAGAGCATTAAAGAAGACCTGTCTAGTCGATTGGCAAAATTTATAATTTTCGTACCCAGTTAAAATTTGTTGAGAACTTTACAGATTTTTGATACCAAATTTTACAACGTAAGCCACTGTGCGTGACAATGATTGTTGCGGTATGGAAGCTTCTGATTCACTTTTGAAGGCGAGGTGTTACAATGCAATGTAAATATTTAGCGCTCAGTGAAAAGCATTTCTTTTTAGGATTTTATTTAAATCATAGATTTTTCGTGTACACATCACTTAGCATAAATGGCACGCCGCACTGCTTACATACTGCTTTACAAAAAAGTCGATAATATAGTAGGTACCTAAATGAAAAGCTTTCATGCTACATTCAGCACTTTGGATGATGGGTTGCCAAGCGGTCCTGTGGCGCAATGGATAACGCGTCTGACTACGGATCAGAAGATTCCAGGTTCGACTCCTGGCAGGATCGATTTTTTTTACACATTATTTTAGCTTTCTTTGTTTTAACAAAATCTAAACAGTACCGAATAATATTTGAAATTTCAAACTTATTATTTTATTAATAATACCAATAATTATATATCTATACAACTTGAAAGTATGAAGGGAAAACTGGGCATTTTGATGCCATGTAGACATGTGGTCCTGTGGCGCAATGGATAACGCGTCTGACTACGGATCAGAAGATTCCAGGTTCGACTCCTGGCAGGATCGAAGAAACTTTTTATATATACATATTATATATTTATTTGTAATTCTATTTTTAAGTTTAATACATAATTCGAGCCGTATTCTAGTTTCTGTTTCGAGATTCATTTCTTATTGTAATGCACCAAATTAATCAGTGATATAGTTGAACTATTTAGAAATACAAAAAAAAGTATTTCGCCCAACGTGGGGCTCGAACCCACGACCCTGAGATTAAGAGTCTCATGCTCTACCGACTGAGCTAGCCGGGCACATGTTCGAAAGCTGGCCAAACACAGTGTACAGTTAGGGACCATAACTCCCTCTTTACTGAGATCGAGCTTTTAAATGTAAAAGCGAACATAAACGCTAGAATAAAATGTATATTTTAACTTGATAACAAAACAAATAATATGCAAATTAACAAAATAAAGCACCATATTCCATTCATTGTAAACCAATATTCATTATCTCGACCCATTCTCAGTAAAAGCTCTCTCTATAAAAGCTTGTATAACTTGATGACTAATGCGAGTTTGGCCAAACAGCGGTCCTGTGGCGCAATGGATAACGCGTCTGACTACGGATCAGAAGATTCCAGGTTCGACTCCTGGCAGGATCGAATTTTTTTGTCAACAACATACAATTCTTTTCTTATTTTTTATACCCTGTACCAATGGGGAACAACCAAATTAATATAAATCTTTATATTTATATATAAATATGTATATATATGGAGTAATTTGAGGAAATAAAGTTTTTGTGTAACTTCTGCAACGGCTTCATTTGTCTTTGCAGCATCAAGGGCTGTTCCTCAAGAGGTACCCACCGTCGTTTGTCTTTATTGGGGTGTTGCGAAACATAAACATTTCTTACCATTATCCCCTGCCTTCCGCCCTGCTTAATTTGTGTTTATCAATTCGATTATATTTAGCACGTCCTCGGTAATTTTAATGTACGCACAATGCTTCTAGTAACATACATATGTATACTGAAAAACGGATTTTTCCTTAAAATTATGCAAAATTTTAGGGTATCTCACAGTTAATCATTTCAATTGTTTCTATTCTTGTATTGCTATAATGCATTATTAAAAATATGTGTAACAATTTTTTATTTTAATTCAGAATTTGACATGGAAATTTTATTTTGCTATAACATTTTCACTTTTTATTTTCTGATATTTAGTAGTATTTAATCAATTAATTTGATTACATTCGGATGATAAAATACAATTTTGTTTATCCCCACCTCTTTGATGTTTGTCGAGGCCCTGGTTTCAATCTGGGGCTTTCAAATATTTGAATTTTTTGGTCTACGCTATTTTTAGAAATGGTAGTTTTTAAGTAAATATATACAGGGGTAGTCAAAAGTATTTACACAAATTCACAATTATTTTCACCGCCAAACTTATTTTTGTTATTATTCTTGTTGTTTTCGACAGATTTTCATGAAATTTTTTTGATTGATCTATTTTAGATTGATCTATTCAGAAACAAGCAGAAGACGAAAACAAAAGATAAGGGTTCATAGGACCATATTAAAAGCAAAAGAAATATGTCTATTTATTTTAGATATAGCTTAATAAACTCAATTCCAACCAATTGAAAGCCTTCATCGATACCTAAGCAAATTTTTTAACTATTAATAAAGTAACTTACGAGATTGTCACTAAAAAATATTACATTTTAATAGCATTAATATTAAGACGAAAACTTATTATGTGTAAATATTACACTGTAGGTGCATCTATTCTTTTACTTATATCCTTTTTCTATGAACCGTTAACTTTCGAATTCCTTTTTGGCCTGCTTCTGCAGAGATCAATCTACGCAATAAAGAAATTTTCAGGGAAAACGGTCAACAACAAAAATAATAACAACTGATACATTTTATATTATTTTTTAATTTTTACCAGAATTTAATAAAATTTGAGATATAGCCATTTTAGATTATTCTACAATTTTGTGTACAATTTTATGAAAATCGATCATTTGTATGGCACTTACATATATGTTATAGTGTCCGATTTTCATAAATTTTTACACAAAAGTCTAGATAAATATATAATGGCTATATATCAATTTGATAAAAATCTGAAAACTGAGAACTGGAAAAGTTATAATATTTTTTCTAAAAACTATCCGATCGTTCCTATGGCATTTATATCCGACATACATACATATGTACATACGAGTAAGAGTATATACATAGAAGACTTACTTCAAAGTTTCATTCAGAAAGCTTCAAAACTGATGGACTAGTTTGTGTAGACAGAAGGACGGACAGACGTATGTAAATGGCTAGATCGACTCGGCTGTTGATGCTGATCCAGAATATATACTTTATATGGTCGGAGATGCCTCCTTCACTACGTTGCAAACTTCTGACTGAAATAGTACCAACCAAGAAATTAAACTTACTTGGGGACGGCGAATAAAAACCAAGAAAGAATGTTATCTTTGGCATGCCAAAGTTTGTATTCCCTTGTAGCTCGCAAAGGAAAAACTAAAGGAAAATACATAAAATATTCAACATATATATCTTAATTCGGTTTTGGTTAAACTTTACCAAATATATTAAAATTGTAAAAAATAGTTATATATCTGAATAGAAATTTGTAATAGATTCTATATTGCAAATATATATGATGAAAAACATCGAAGTAATACCAACTTTTAAATCATTTACCTTATGATTTTAAGGTTTCCAATGGTCCATATGGTTCCAACGTATATATTAAAGAAAATATAATAATAGAAAATAAAGAATTTTTAATAATTTTTTTTAAATTTCTCTTAGTTCTTAAGACAGTTCTCTGATCAAATATATTCGTTAGGAATTTTTATGTACATATATATTTACTAATAAAACTATTTTACTAGACAAACATGTCTAGGTCGACTCGGTACCTGATGGCGATCAAGAAAATATGTGAATTCATTTAATTTTACATTATATTAAATAGAAAAAAAATTCGATCCTGCCAGGAGTCGAACCTGGAATCTTCTGATCCGTAGTCAGACGCGTTATCCATTGCGCCACAGGACCGTTGGACATGGCATTCACTAAGCCCTACGTGAGCTGCCACAGCCCCAGAGACTATAATATTCAGAGTTGTAAGTTTATTTATAGATAAACAATGTAAATTTTGAAGCACTTGAGTTGACACAACCCGTTTTCTTGAACTGTTGTTCAATGGGACGGAACGGTTTTCCATTCATTGTTTACCAACAATCATCAGGTGTTGCCGGCATCTAACAAAAACCTGAACTGGGCAAGAAAACCTGTAATCAAAATAAATGAAGCTGATAACACACGCTAGCTGATATTCGATCTACTCCGTGCTCTAGTGGCCAGGGTGTTCCCTCGGAGCTCGGATAGACTACCAGCGCACGCTGACTCGATCAAACGGAATCAGAGTTCGCAACGACTCGAGTCGCAATTCATTCAGCTTTTTTGCAAAGTCACGAAGCCTAAGCGAAATAGTGTTTGGCTATATTCGCCTAGTCAAACATTAAATGGCATTTCAAACACCCTTGTCACGTACACTCGAAAAAATATCCCAATAGTTTAGATAAACCAATACTATTTGCAATTAATTTTCACGCAGTTCCCTGTACTATGTTTGTACTATGAATGATTTAAATATTTTTTTTTTGAGTGCTGACAGTTTGCAGCGTTTGCCTTTCTGATAATATTCTTAAAGCATCTGAGCTTTGGCATTAACCCTATATAATTTTGATATTAGAAAAGCTTCGAGCGATCATTTAAAAGCCCCTAGCGGCCTGGCAAGTCGAACAGTGGCTCCCGGCAGTCGAAGCTTCCAACATGTCGAACGAGCTCCTTTTCTTGCTCGCCACCTTGGCGATCGTGTTCTACATCTGGCAGAGGCGAGCTTTCAGTTTCTGGCAGAGCCGCGGGGTGAAGTTTATTCGTCCGGTGACCCTTTTGGGATGCACCCGAGAGTTCCTAACGGGTCGGGTGCCCTTTTTTGAGCAAATTCAAAAGTTCCACGAGACCCCGGGCTGCGAGAAGGAGCCTTTCGTGGGAGTCTATCTGGCATATCGTCCGGCTCTGGTAATTCGCGATCTGGAGTTGATCAAGACGGTGATGGTGAAGAAGTTTCAGTACTTCAACAATCGTGTGCTCCGAACGGATCCCCACCACGATGCCCTAGGCCATAACAACCTCTTCTTTGCCCGCAGTCCGACATGGAAGGAGTTAAGGAACAAGATCTCGCCGGTCTTTACCTCCGGAAAGATCAAGCAGATGTATCCGCACATGGTGAAGGTAAGAATTCGAATTAGACCATACACTTGAGTACTTGAAGAACATTCGCTTGTAGATTGGCAAGAACCTGGAGGACAGCGCTGACCGTCTGGGCAGCGGCTCAAATGTCCAGATCAAGGATCTCTGCGCTCGGTTCACCACCGACTTGATCGCCACTATTGCCTTCGGCCTGGAGGCCAACGCTCTGCAGCTCCCCAAGAGTGAGTTCTATCACCACAACAAGGCGATCTTCGCGGTTTCGCTGAGCCGCGCCATTGACTTTGCCATAATCTTTATGCTGCCGGCTCTGGCTTCGCTGGCCCGCGTGAAGCTCTTCTCCAAGGATACCACCAAGTTCATCCGGAGCAGCATCAACTTTGTGCTGGCCGAGAGAGAGCGCACTGGCATAAAGCGGAACGATCTCATCGACATTCTGCTGGCCTGGAGGAAGGAGGCGGCGGCCAATCCGGAGAAGAACCATCAGACCAATGACCTGGACTACCTGGTGGCCCAAGCGGCCGTCTTCCAGACAGCCGGCTTTGAGACGAGCTCCTCCACGATGACGCTGACGCTGTACGAGTTAGCCCTGCAGGAGGAGCTGCAAGACCGCCTCCGCCAGGAGATAGCAGACTTCTTTGGCGAGGAGGATCATGTCAGCTACGAGCGCATCCAGGAGATGCCCTACCTGTCGCAGGTGGTCAACGAGACACTGCGAATGTATCCGATTGTGGGATACGCGGAGCGCGAGTGCTCGCAGCCCGCGGAGGGTGAAAAGTTCACCCTTAGTCCGCACAGCAACATGGAGCTGCCACACGGCATGTCCGTCTATGTGTCCACCCTGGCCATCCAACGTGACCCGCAGTACTGGCCGGAGCCGGAGAAGTTCGACCCGGATCGTTTTGCTCCCGAGAATCGACACAACATCAACATGGATGCCTACATGCCCTTCGGCGTGGGTCCGCGCAACTGCATTGGCATGCGCTTGGGTCTCCTCCAGTCCAAGCTGGGCCTCGTGCACCTGTTGCGCAAGCACCGAGTCCACACCTGTGACCAGACCCCCAAGACGATTGAGTGGGCCCCTGGCAGTCCGGTGGTTGCCTCCAAGGATGACATTGTCCTGCGACTGGAGAAGGTTTCGGGGTAATGAAGTTTCGGTTCTATGAAATAGAATCAATTTCAAATTTTATTCCAGTTAAAATGAAGCGTTATTCCAAAGAATAAAAGGATTTCTATTCGACTTTCTTATATATAGTTTGCAATCTGCTTTAAAGTCAGGAAACTAAAACTTGTGATACTTATCTTAAAAGTACGTGCTCTTATTAGGAAGGTGTATTTATATATACCTTATTAAATTTCCTGATTAAATTTCTTGTACATATTTCAATACAATAAATATATCAAATACAAAACTGTCACACTTCTCAGGATATGGTTTTTGGTATCACACAAACGTTTATATCTATGACCAGCTTTGTGTTTACACAACCACCTAACCTCCCAAAGATGCGGAAAAGCTTCATCCGTGTGACAAGCCAAGGACGCCCCGTAAACAATTATCCTTGAGAGGAAATGTCATAATGGCAGCAGCTTTGTGGAAACTGCAACACACAGCAGTTACACCACAAAAAGTTTTGCTCAACGGCTGTTGGGTCCAGAGCTCGGAGTCCTTGTAAGGGCCCCACACCCAAGCACACCACTTGTGCTCAAGCACACACTCATTCCCACTCTCACTGCAAGCACTTAGCGCATTTAATGCGATTGTCAATTTACTCAGACCTCGTTGAGGAAGTTGACGGGAATTGCCGGAGAGGAGGACGAGGAGGCGCCTAATGACCGGTTGCCGCCGAGGCATTGATTGCGCGGGACAGCAAGGAATAGCTAATTATTCAGAGCTTAGGCTAATATCTTTCTTAAACTGGTTTATCAGATATGTCATAACTATATATAGTATATTCAATAAAGATTATTGAGATTAGCAATTTGTTTACAATTAAACAAGCGCAATTGCCACTCATTATACATATGCAGGGCATTCTAATTTTAGTTAGAAGTTTAATTTATATATATGTACATATATATATGTATGTGTATGTATATACATGTTCTCAATATTATATTATCTACAATTAAATCCAAAAAAATGTCTCTAGAAAAGAAATCCAAATTTTTTTGCTTATTTTTCTTTGCTATTATATAAAATTTAAAGTGGCTTTTCTACTACTTCCCCAAGAGTGATTTTTAAGTCATCTTTAACGATCAAAATCAAGTTATTTGAATTTACACACACATAAAAACAAGATTAAGTCAGTATTACTATAGATTCCGGTTAATTTTCTAAAAAATTCGCCAGACTTCAGTAACATACGCTGAATATGTTACATTTATTCAAGTGTAAACAAACCGAAACTTATATATTAAGAAGTAGGAAAAAATGATACCTCGTACCCAAATTTAATTTTTGAAAATCTTAAATAAAAGAGGTCGGAGACATAAGAAAAAAATACAAAATTAAGCTAAGAAAATGTTTTGCAACACCCAAATGAAGACAAATGTTGATAGAAAAAAGGTTGAGAAATACCCAAATACACTCAATATAATTGTACTTGTTGCACAACTTTAACATTGTAACTTTTTTGATCGAAATTCCAATGAATATTGATCGATTTTACCACAGCATTCATATTACATGCAATAGCATTAATAGTGTGTGCAATTTTATGAATTTGTATCGTTTGAAAATCAGAGTTAAAACCAACTAATTTTGTGACAAAGTTCTTAATAGTTGCAGTATTGCAAATTGATAATCCAAATATTTGTTCACAGTTAACAGTTATATTAATTTTGATTTTAATACAAATTGTACAACCTTTGCAATTTGAAGAACACCAGTACGCAGAATTTTCCCAAAGACGTTTTCACTCACGTTGGCCATGGAAATCTCTCAGTCACGTCCAACTTTCACATACGAGATGCAACGCTTTTCGTGAAACGCAACGTGAAATAAACTGACATCAAATTTAATGATAAACTGCAGTTAAGCCAATTTACAGTTGACTTGTTTTAAGGGTGATACTGGAACTGCAACTGCCACTGCCAGGGGCACTGGCAAACTATGCGTGGCACGCAACGCAGTGACTTTGGACTGACCTTCGTGGCGGATTTGCAAGCGACTTCTCCCTGCGGCGTATCGGAAAATCGCGTGCTGCTTTTTTATGCGAGTATTGCATAACTTTTGCCACCTTTCTGCGGGAGTGGCTTTCCCTTCCGATTGAATTGCAGCTCATCCAGGACGAATCGAACAAGGAAAGCCACTCAACTGGGGTAGATCCACCTGCTGCCACTGACAGTCGTTGCTGGCTCGGTTGGCCATTAGTTTTAATTAGGCATCGGATAAATGTCTTCTTGCCAGAGATTACCCTAGGATCCGGCATCATAACGAAACTAAAACTGGTACAAAGAGCTCGCCTTGAGCCGGAAATTGCATGCAAATCGACATAAAATTAATAAACTCGCAAATTGCTTGGTTCCCCCTTTTGTTGCTGGTCTTCTAATTAGCTGGAAACTTTTTACCCCTCCGTATCCTTGTACTTTATCAGGAATTTGTTAATTAAGGAACTGGGCGACTGCCCTGATGGGGACATTAGCCCAAGACAGAGGAAGGGCAAGCGGAATGCTATACAATCTAGATGACACTGATTTGTCAGTCGCGGAGATGAGTAGGAAGAAAAAATTGACAAGGTTCCAAGTAAATTAGTTTAAAAAGTCATTGACAGGAGCTTTATATTGCAGCAGAAACTTCCGAAGACAAACTGAACTAAACAAATTCACTAGAAACCAATGGAATTAAGTTACTTATTGTATGTTTTTATCCCACCATATAGTTCGCGTTTCATCCATTAGTATCCGTGTGAATAATAATTTAAAAGGTATAAAATGTATACATATAGAAGCTTAGAAATTTCAATATTTCATTTATATTTGTATAGCTTACAAAGATGATTTCAGAACTCACACCACTTTGGTTTGTTAATTCTTTTTTTAAGCAAACTAAGCGGTCATGAAGAACTTTCGAAAAGGACAAGTTGAGGGTCTTAAGATGTATTTGCTCGCCATAAAACAAAGCTAAACGTTTGACGACCTTCGTTTTATGTGCTGAGAAAATATCCAACAGTTCCCTTCTTTCGAACAAAGAGATAAATTAACTTGACGAAGGAGCAGGGACATTCAATGGCCTTAGCCGAGGAACCTTAGCTGCATCCATTCTGCGTGACTATCTGCTGTCGGAGGGGTCCTTGGCTCCTGGCTTCAGCATCAGCCATCCCATTTAATTGCAATTTTTCCTTTCCAGTGACCAAAGACAAATAACCAATGCAAATAGATCATGTCATTGTGTCAACAAGTTTAACAATTTAATTGCGCGAGTTCAACAAGGAAGAAGCTGGAACAACTGCATTTGTGGCAACGTTGAAGATTACACTGTTGTTTCAAATTAAAATATAATCCAATATATGTGTTAGATATAAATCAACTATATTAGACTAGATGTCCTACAATAAATATTCATTTTAATTAGTCATAATCCGTCCATTTAATCAAAAAATTTAATTTGAAACAAGAAAGGAAGCTAACTTCGGTACGCCGAAGTTTATATACCCTTGCAGATAGAACTTCGATGACTAGCAATCAATACAATAGAAATTTTTTATATATAAGTCAAAAAACAATACAATAATGCCTGCTTTCATTTCATTTTTTTTATACCCTTGCAGGGTATTATAATTTCAGTCAACGCAGTGAAGGAGGCACCTTCGACTATATAAAGTATATATATTCTTGATCAGGATCAACAGCCGAGTCGATCTAGCCATGTCCGTCTGTCCGTCTGTCCGTTTCTACGCAAACTAGTCTCTCAGTTTTGAAGCTATCTGAATTAAACTTTGCAATTATAATACCCTGCAAGGGTATAAATATATAGCTTCGTGTCTAAGCTTGAAACATAGTGGAAAAAAGTGGCGAGTAAATTACAAAATATATATTTCAATGTATACTTATAGAATTATTTCAATAAAACTACTGGACGATTCGACATCTTCATCCAATGAATCCAAGTTAGAGAAACGCGTCACAGGTGATGTTCCTTCCGTTTCGTTAGAAATAAAGTGTAGTTTTTCATCAAATGCTACAAAGTATGTGGGAATTTCGCCGCGTCCTTTCACAAAAGTGAGACCACGCAAATTGCACTTAATACCAAAGTTCATCAGTATCTTGGCGGACTCCTCTGTCACTTGGATGTGACCCGGCAGACCCGTCGACTGCATCCGCGACGCCATGTTCACCGGATTGCCCCAGATGTCGTAGTGTGGCTGGGAGGCGCCCACCACCCCGGCCATGACCTCGCCGCTGGAGATCCCGATGCCAATCTGGGTGCTTGACAAATACCGATCGAAGGGCGCTTCCGCGTAAGCCTTGTTGCACGAGGCCAGGGTTCGCATCAGGTCCAAGGCAAAGGTTGTCATCAAGAACACCACAGTGTCCTGGCTGTCATCCTCATCTTCCTCCGTAAGGAACCGACTATTTCGGGCCCCTTGACGGTAAATTGAAATTTATAAGTGATTTCATAATGGAATTGTAATTAATTAGCTTACTTTCCATGAAGCGCGAAATTCTCACAGAGCTGCCTTTTCTAACCATTGATGCCAGAGAGAAATCCAAGCCACATGCTGCCATATAAGTGCAGCCAACGACCTTGATCTTCTCAACCATGTAAACCTTCTTGTAGTGAATCAGCTGAGGTATGAAAACCGATAGTTACTCTTGTCAAAAGTAAAACTCTAAGGACATTGCCTTACCAGAGCGTCAAACTCCGAGATGATGCAGTTTAGCACACGTAAAGTGGGCAAATCCATCCTAAAGTTCATTAGCTTGGCAAACATTACGGAAACCATTTTGTAGTTCTCATAGTAGAGCTCGTGTTTGGCCAGTGAATCAAGATAGTGGGTTACTTTTAGCAAAAAGAAGACAAAAATCATTGTCACTGCAGAACCCCGAGGGGATGGTTTACTCACCAACATGAGATGGGAGAATGTTATTAAGGAGAATTAAGATCGATTGGTTTGTTGCGTTGGCCATATTTTGTTTGTTCTTCAAACTCACGTTCAGCCTAAGGGGATGGTAATGGTTTAGGAATCATTATAAATGGCACGGAAGTTATCCTATTCAGAGATCAGACCTTCACCTTACATTAACTTACATCTCAATCCCAAGAACCTCCTGAAGTTATTTCACTCACCTGTAGTTTGTTTTTGCATTGAACTCAACCTGACGCTCTTTCACGTACAGAGTAATTAACATGAACATAATGCGGGCACAGTGCGCTACTTCCGGTGGCAAAAAGGGTGCCGTGGTGTTGCTGTGCTGGAACACAAACTGATATTCGAAAAACAGAATCAACAGGTAGATGATGGCCTCGATACAGCTGACACAGGTCTTGACAGCGAACGGAATCCTGGAAAAAGTGTAGCTCATTCCCAGGATGAGCGCCGTCATGTTCGTAAAGGACCACGTGTGAAAGCAGGTGTCAAGATTAACTTCATAGTGGAAGAGCTTGCTCTCAATGTACTCCAACTCAAACCTTGACCGATCGCAGTTCGACTGAAAGTTTGAAAATCAAAATGGCTAGCTATTAAGATCCCTGAATGCAATAGGAAGAAGGTTCCTTCAGTGGCTAGGAACTGCATATACTAACCACTATCAACAGGATCACGGAGTGGTAGCACGCTATGGTGACCAAGTAGCAGAAAATCCTTAAGAACAAACTGCGCTGTATCCTCTCGTAGACTTTGAATATAAAACAACTAATTCTATTGTATTCCAAGCCCGTGCGATTTCCATTTTTCCACCAGCATAATTTCTTGTACCACGCGATAAACAGGAGGGAAGTCAGCACGATGAAGGTTACCATATTGATCGCAATGCAGTCCCAGCACACATTGGTCATGATCTCAATGTAGATCAAGCAAACACCAGTTACCCAGGCCAGCAGTACGGAGCCCTTGAAAGTATAGTCTGGCTGATGCAGATAGTTCCTTTCCAGAGTCGCATCCTTGAACTGTGTGCATAAGAATCCTATTTCTCGGCGCGACTTTCGTGCGGTATCTCCGACTCGACGTTTGGATGAAAAGATACGTTGAAAGCTTAAAGGAACACAGTTATATATTAATATTTGATCATAGCCAGACCATAGCCAGACGTACTCGTAGCCGCCCACTGGCATCTTGCGAAACTCCTCACGCAACTCTTCGTACATGGAGTCGCTAATGTCGACGGGGCCCTGCATTGGCCGTGTTCTAATGTTAATGGCCGACTGGCCTCGATTCACAGTAATTGGACTTTTCCGGGAGCGGTTGTAGACAGTGCCGGCAACCAGATATGTTCTCATCGGATACTTCTGCAGGACCGGATCTTCCTGGGCCATCTTTGTGCCTGGCAATATTGTGTACTGAGACGCATTTAGCATGCTCAGAGTCCGGCCACTGATGTGGACGGAGCCCGGTACCCCAGTGGCCTCCAAGTGATTAGCAATGTCCACATCAGCTCCTGCAAAATGATCACTAATTACCCCTATTATTTCCAATACATCCAATAACCTACCCCATATGTCAAACTGCAGCTTTACCTGTCCAATGATCCCGGCAAAGAGACTTCCCGAGTGGACTCCAATGCGCATATCGATGTCCAGTTCCCGTTCGGCCCTGTGGGATAGATTAAATAAGATGAGTGGTCTTGGTCAGTTAGTTAGTTGGGCTGAACAAACCGCACTTCCTGGATGTTGAAAATCATGGCAAGGCCCAGGGCAACGGTGTTTTGTGCATGATCCGGGTCAGGGTCCTCGAGACCGGCTACACAGTAGTAGCAGTCGCCCAGGAACTTGATCCTCTGGACCTTGTAGGTAGCGGCAGCCATGTCAAATCGACCGTAGAGATCGTGCAACACCTTCACCAGGGTCTCCACTGACAGGGTCGTGGTCAGGTAGGTGTAGTTCACCACGTCCGCGTACAGAATGCTAACCTCGGAATGCATCTGGATGGCCATGCTGCTCCCATAGTTCCCCCAGGACTTGAACTTCAATTCGCTATCCAACTGTGTGATCTTGTTTCTAATGCTCTCCTGATATGGCTTGGCGATCTGTGGCGGCAAGGTATTGTCCAGCAGCATCGATTCCTGGAGCAGGGCGTGGCGCAACCAGATCTCCTCCATGATGAACTGGTAGCGGTCAAGGAAGGACGCCCGAACCATGGTGTCGTTCATGAGACGAAAGAATACGCCCATCATGGTGAAGCCGAAATAATGTAAGATGTCCACTGTTATCCTTTCATAGTTTTGAATGTCGCGACCGGCGTACACCGCAAGAAACGCGAGCACTTTCATATAGTACGCCACATACAGGACACTGACAATGAAACCAAGGAGAGCAGCCACTCTCACGGATGGAATCGGCAGGAACATGTAGATCATACAAAGGGCGTAAATGTCCATAGACGAATTAAGGGGCCAATCGTGAGCTACATAATGATAAGTGACCAATCCCAAATCTGTAAAAGTATAAAATCAAACTGAAAATGTAAATATGATAGAATAAGAATTCAATTAAATGAATATTTATTTATATGATTAAAGCCCTATCATCATAGTTTCAGAAGATATACAAAGTCGAAAGACCGAGCTAGAATGTGATGTATTAAATGTTGTATGGAAAATTGTTACCGGGTACCCGGTATCTCACAATCAAGGCAATTCAACCTTAGCCCCTTACTATTTCTTATGGAAATACGGTATTATTTCAGACTTACCTGCCCCTATTAAACAAAATGTAGCCAGAACCGACGACAACACCAATACCCATCTGTGTCGCCGCACAATGTCCTCGAATAAATTGATGCTCAGCACAAGGGGCAATAAAAAGGCATTGATTATAATTAAAGCCACATCGGGATAGATGCGATACGTGTGCTGAAAAAGTGAAATTGACTCAATTTAAGCCCCATCTTTATCAGAGCCAAACCTTTACATCGGTCAATAGCAACAGGATTGCCACAGAGCTTGCGGAGACAGCCATATGCAGAAGAAAGAAGACTCCCAGGTAACTGGTCATTAGACGCACCTGATACCACTTGTACTCCTCCTCCAGGTGAAGCTCCTTACATCTGGCCTGTTGCGACCGCAATTTCGAGGAATGATCAGCGGCATGTCTTTGGAGATACTCACCCTCAGATAGCTTGGTTCCCAAACGCGCTCCTTGTCATAGTCGAGCGTGCATGTCCTCCTTCGCCTCCTGCCGCGGGTTTTGAAGCGATGGAATTCCATCTCACAACAAGATTCTTGAATCAGTAAATATGTGTTTGTTTTGCTCAAGGGTTGATTACATTGTCAATGGTCTGCTGACATAAAAAATATATTGCCCAATGTATTTGTTTGATAAGAAATTGAACTGAGCTACAGTGGGAATCTGAGATACCTGGCACCCATGCCATGCAACATGGCCTATAAACGGAAATGTTGCTATACATATGTTGCGCAGCAACCAAGTAAAGAAAAGGTTGCTCGGTACATGTTGAACAACACCTAAGCAAGAGCATGTTGAGCAACACTCAAGCAAGAGCGACACAAATGTAGATGTTGCAGAAGTTCAGCAACACACGACTTTATGTCTTCTTTCTGTGTATTTACAAATACAAAAACAGTCTACATATTCGATTAATTAATAAGCTGACAGTTGTGTATTAATTTATTCATATACTTTATACATATATATTTTTGTACTTTCTTGTATGTTCTTGGTTACCTTAGCCCCCAACCCTAAACCACCAATTGGGCAGTTGGCGATTGATCGCAACATTGCCCGGCTAGCTCAGTCGGTAGAGCATGAGACTCTTAATCTCAGGGTCGTGGGTTCGAGCCCCACGTTGGGCGAAACAATTTTTTTGTATTTTTTATAATAATCATTACATCATATAATTTTAGATTTTGACCATTTTGTAACAAAAATAGAATTTTGTTTATTTTTTACCTCGGAAAGCTGATCCAATCCCTTGGAAGTTTTGATTTTTTTTTAAACTAATCATTGAATGAATAAAATTGTTTTAATTTAATAAAATCGTAATACAGTTATAATAAACTTATATGAAAGATTATGAATATATAGGGCTGTACTTTTGCTTATATTTTCTCCTACTAGTGCAAATGGTATAAAAATGAAATAAATTTGACTTAAAATTCAAGGCTTCATTATAAACTAGGAAACTCGGCAAACTACGCTTCGCCACCAGATCTCTTCGTTTTTGTAACATTTCGTTTGGTGATTAAAAAATAAAGAATTTTTTTGTTTTATATTTGAAAAGTAATGAATCCAGTTTAACTTTTCCACTTGCGCAGCACAATCCCGCAGTTTCTTTTTTGAACTTTAACGCACTGCAATATCGGCATATAGCCGTCATTGGTTCAATATCTAAATTTTCATCATCACTGTAGTTCTCAGAATGCCAAACGATTGTATGATGCCAATGTCCTCACGCGTTGTCTCAATGGGACATTTTCTCTTATTATATTTTGTCTTTCTTCCCTTAAGTTCTGTGAATACATTTGTTGATGATGATGTTCGTTCGCACGTCGTCCTTTTGGACTATAACCTCAAATGCACGGTCCACATAATTAACACATTTCAACTTACCACCTTAAAAAACCTACACTTAATTAATTTTATTGTTTCCAATTGAACTGTTAGGGAACGACTACTTGATATATTGGTTTGTAATAAATACTATATATCAGTAATGGATATACCGCTTTTCTGTCGATTAAAAGTGTCCTATGTCCGTCTCCTGACTCTAAGCTACCTTGCTACCAATTTTCACCCAAATCTGTTCTGCCCTTCTTGAGTTATAAGTGGTGTAAAAGACACGACTTTCTTTTATACATATATAGATATTCTTGGATTTCGATTTTTTTCAAAACATAAATACATAAGAATATGCTTAAAGAAAATCAATATGTTATGGTCAAATCATAAGACAGTCTTATAGGTTGAAATATAAAATTTCAACTTCCCAATCAATCAATCTCCCATGTTAATTTATTAATATTTATCAATCTGTTATTATCTAAATAATTGATATAGGGTATATTGTATGCAAATGTTGGGCAAAATGTTGTCAACAAATTCTCATCTTTGCAAAAATAATGGTTGGGATTTTACAATTTTCATGTTATAATCGTAAATATTTTGAGTAATTTCAACCATTGTAGCTACTAATTGCAAAAATTCACAAAAAGATAAATTACCAAATTGTAACAACACTCTTTAAAGGTATTTACAAACTTGAGTTTTCTTGATTAGATATTTTACAAGTGCTGTGGTCTTCAGCCATCGATGGAACATGATTTTTCGTCCCTTGACATAAATGACCTTGTCCGCAACGTGAGTCTTTTATGCGTTTTGCAGCATTGGCAAATGCAAATGCGAATCAGTATCAGAATGGGATGCCATTCCCAGAAATCATATTACGCACACGCCCTCGGAACGCCACACTTGCCACAATGCAGCAACCATTTCGGATTCCATGTTATTTTCCCCCTCACTTCCGGCCAGAAGGGAACGGGAACAGGAGCAGGAGCAGGAGCGGAGTGGAAGCCAGCGATCTGTGTTTGCACATTTCGCCGCTGTTCAATCCCAGCGGGACTCGTAAACACTTGGCCAACATGCACACACCAAACACAAAGGGGGCACCGAAAGGAAATGCGCACTGAGATTGAGTGGGGCAAAGTTGGACGAGGGTTCCGTTCCGCTTTGGCAATTGGCAATCCTTGACCCGTCATAACGTCTCTGTCTGCCCCTCGGACTCCCCCAGCTGACAGCAGAGTTAAATGAGATATGCTTTCTACATTTTTTCGATAAATTTCCAGCGCTTGCATTTGGGAGCTAAGGAAGGGATGCGGTTGGAGACGGAGATGGGATGGCATTATTAGCGGGCGAAAACTTTAACATAAAAATGGCAAACGGATTTGCGCAGCGCTTAAAATGGAGATTTACTGGAGAGCGATATTTATGGCAAGGGGCAAACGGCAAGTGCGCTGAACCAATTTAGGGAAAGTACTTAGTTATGCCCAGATTTCCCGCTGCTTATCCGGTGACATTGATGAATGCCCGGGGCAATTAGTACAAGTAGCAGTTTGGGCTATATAAAGAGAGTTGCCTTCTTGAAGTCGACAAACTAAGAAAGATGCGTTCCCTGATTCTGGTCTCCCTCCTACTAATTGGCCTGGCCTGGGCCTTCCCGGACCTAGATGGCTCTCCGACTAGTCCTGCCCCTGGCAACGACACCTCCGAGGAGGACCTCATTCCGGCCTTCGCGCCCTTCAGCCGGACAGACGGCCGGTTTGCACTGGGCACCTTTGCGAAGGTGAATTGGTTCCAGGCCCAGGCCAACTGCGCCGCCTTCGGCTACACCCTGGTCAGCATCCCCACGGAGCAGGATCAGCGCGCCCTGCGCAGTTTCCTCTACACCGTCGCCCGGGACCAGCAGGACCTGCTTGTCGATCCCCTCTGGACCTCCGGCACCGACCTGGCCAACACCGACTCCTGGGTGTGGTTCAGCAAGGGACGCGCCGTCAACTACCGCAACTTCCGGAACGGACTGCCCGGCTACTCCAGCGATAACCGCCACTGCCTGGGCATCAACGGAATCACCGGGCTCTGGGAGAACGAGGAGTGCAACGAGCAGCGCTTCTTTGTCTGCGAGAAGCGTTGCCAGTTCGACGATGACGCCAACTATTAAGGGGTTCCTCTTCTTGATACAATAAAATATCAAAGAATTAAGTGCAAGCAAATAAAACAGAACAATTGTTTTTAATTATTCATGTTGTTGAATGCACAACACCTTCTTAGGCATATTGTGCTTAAGACAATGATCGAAGGGGGTTTGTTTGTTGAATTTGCTCTCGTCTCATTCTTAAAGTTCTAGTTTAGAAATACAATTTTTGTAAGGCGGCTTCTTAAACTCGACTATATTTCTGAAAAGTACAATATATATATATAAATATATATATATGTATATATACTGTTTAAACATTATTCACTAAATTAACTCTACAAAGTTTAACACGTTGAAGCTTCAACTGCTGGATATGCTCCTAGCAGCCAGCTTCTGTTTGCTAAGAAAAAGCTTTCTTGTAAAGCGTTATTTTTAAGTTAAAAAGAAAAAGACAGAGTTTTGCATTTGTATAGAACCATAAATAATTAATAATAACTATAAAAAAATATTATATTGATTTTAAAATCATCAATTTACCGAACGTTTCTATTCACATTTAGTATAGTATATAACTCTCAGTTCGTATAATATATATAAAATAAGCCGCAATTTGGAAATAGTAAAATATTTTAATATCTGTCAATATACCTAAAACCTTAATATATTCCTACGAGTTTCCAATGGTTTCCAAGGCGGCTTCACTTACAATAAAAATTAACATATTGGTAAATCTTTGAACGAGATAAGTTTGCAAAGTAACGGATTGACACACGGTCTAGATCGACTCGGGAGTTGATGCTGATGATGAATATTCTTATTAATATATTACAAAATAAAGAATAGAATATTTGTTAAGTCTACATATGTAGTATTGAAAGCTTGGATATCTTACAACTTTTAGTTAATAATAAAATTGAATTTTCTTCAACTAGAAAGTTTCCTCCCAAAGAAACGACTAAGTATAATTTAAGAAAAATATTTTATTATTATAATTATTATATTATTTGAGATATATATTATATTGAGATAAGAAAGAAAATAGATAGAACTTCGATGACTTGGAAACAACATAAATTATATATATTAAAAACATTGAAGTAATACCTGCTTTTATTTCCTCTACATCTAACATCTATACATCTCAAAATTAATAAAAATTTGTTGAATTAATTAATTTATAATTTTTAATTGAATTAATTTCTCGATCGTTCCTATGGGAGCTACATATATGATATAGTAGTCCGATTTCCAAAAAAATTTACACAAAATTGTAGAATAATATAAGATGCCTTTACCTAAAATTTTTAAATTTTATAAAAAACTGAAAATATTGTGCGTAGAGACAGAAAGACGGACAGACGGACATGGCTAGATCGATTCGGCTGTTGATCCTGATCAAGAATATATATACTTTTTATGGTCGGAGGTGCCTCCGTCACTGCGTTGCAAACATCTGACTAAAATTATTATTCCCTGCAAGGGTATAAATATTAAGTTTGTTAATTATTGAAGAACTTATTCAAATTGCCTCATAATATTATTTCTTATGCAGAATGCTTCAGTGTTCAGATATTTTGTAGATTTTTGCGTATTCAACAACATTAAAGGAAACGATAAAAAAAACATGAAAGGAAGCTAACTTCGGCACGCCGAAGTTTATATACCCTTGCAGATAGAACTTCTATGAATAGGAATCCATACAATATAAATTATATATATTTGTCTTAAAAAACAATGAAGTAATACCTGCTTTCATTTCATTCACCTATACATGTACATATATTTGCAGTTTTACATTCACAGATTTGCATTTTTCCTCTACATCAAACGATCATTTGTATGGCACCTATATGATATAGTCGTTCGATTTTCATAAAATTTGACACAAAATTTAAGACTAATTTAAAATTGCTATACCTCAAATTTGATGAAAATCTGTTGAAAACAGAAAAAGTTATATTTTTTAATTGTATTAATTTCTCGTTCGTTCCTATGGGAGCTATATGATATAGTAGTCAGATTTTCATAAAATTTTATGCAAAATTGTAGAGTATAGTAAAATGGCTATATCTCAAATTTGATCCAATTCTATTGAAAACTGAAAAAGTTCAAATTTTTTTTGTAAAAATTTTCCGATCATTCCTATGGCAGCTATATGATATAGTCGTCCGATCCGGCCCGTTCCGACATATATATGAGTGAGAGTATATGGAAGGCTAACTACAAAGTTTAATTCAGATAGCTTCAAAACTGAGAGACTAGTTTGCGTAGAAACGGACAGACGGACAGAAGGACAGACGGACAGACGGACATGGCTAGATCGATTCGGCTGTTGATCTTGATCAAGAATATATATACTTTTTATGGTCGGAGGTGCCTCCGTCACTGCGTTGCAAACATCTGACTAAAATTATTATTCCCTGCAAGGGTATAAATATTAAGTTTGTTAATTATTGAAGAACTTATTCAAATTGTTTCATAATAATTTTTCTTATGCAGATGTGCTTCAGTGTTCAGATATTTTGTAGATTTTTGCGTATTCAACAACATTAAAGGAAACGATAAAAAAGATAATAATAATAAAATTATTTACTCATTATGGTTTAAAACATTTAATTGTTCTCACATTTACAATGGTTTTATCTTACCAATTTTTTACTCAAGAAATCGATATCTCTATTAAGCTTAAAGATATACTTTTTTGTCTAACCCTGTGTAATCTAGCAAACAAATGTTCTCGCATATAAAAAAGTTTTTCTCAGAGCAGTTAGCACTGTGCCACATATGATCACTGCCTAGGATCAGGCAAGCATCCTTGCCTTTACGATCCGATCTCGGTTCCCTGCGAGCCCACTGTGCGAAGGTCACAGGAATTCCGGTGCTCAGCCAAGTCCAGGAGTAAGATCTTTTCACCAGATTTGTAGCGCCCAGCCAGAAAGACATATTTCCGAAATAATGTTCTGGAGGAAGAAGAGATTTATGGATTTGGAATAATCTCTCCAAAGTCCAATATAACAACAAGATGAGTAACGCCATACGATTTGTTAGCTTTTGACTTTGTCGTGCTGAGTCTAGAGCTGATCTAGGATCTCTTTTAATTTTGCTTAAAAGTCAGACAAGGATATATAGAGCGCTCTAAGGCCAATCAGTCGCTCTCTTGTACGCTTACGTACATTCGAGATCAGTTGTATGTTTGTTATGCATCTTGTTATTAGAGAGACTTTGATCTCACCATTTCTGGTGACATAGTCCAGCATAAGCTGATGGTGTTCCTTGTTTCTAACTGTGGCCAGGACGGAACCCACTCGGTTGCAAATTTGATTAGCTTCAAGCCAATTAACCTACGAAAACTACAATAAGAACCAGGTATTAAACGTAGTACGACTTACTTTGGCGAATCCAGCCAGTGAAAAATATGGCTCACAGTCCATTAAGGGATGACATTTTGGACTGAAATTGAACTCCAACTCAGTGGAGCTATTGGATGCAAATACCCTCAAGGGCAGACAGCAAATAATGACCAATATGGAAAACATACTGAACAGGGCTCCTTCAAGTACGAAACCATTTATAGGGGCATTACGATTGTAAATCCCATTAAAAGTAGCTCAAAAAGCAATTAAGACTGCTCAAGTTATCACAAAAAATGCGCTCATTATTTCTAGGAAAATATAAAAGTTTTATTCAATAGCAAAAATTGTAAACGCTTTACAAACATGTCCCAAATTTCTTACAGAACTAGGTAGTGGTAGCAGGTCGTGATTTGGCCATCCCTAACAGTTAATAGTCATTAAATATATACTCAGCAGAACATCATTGACTCGCGCACTAAATCTAAATTAATTTAAATAAACAGTGGAATGGGGAACCCTAAGTCTCACTCAAGTAGCCTACATTTAACTAGATGCATAGTGTTTGTGTAGATGGTACCATAAGTTTTCTGACTCGAGCTCTTCTCGATGAAATGTTTTGGGATAAATAAATCGAACCGGACTTATCGAACTAAACTGATTTTGATTTTGAGCTCACAGCTGGGAGCTTGGGTGGCCCAATCGCAGGTTTTGTAAATATATATAGTCTGAACGTGGTAGTCCTTTGTCTATAGACGGGGGCAAGTACACGATGAGGAGTGAAGGCAGATCCATCGGAAATGGAGGAGGTTCTTTGACTTAAATAGATCATCGTTTGACAAGACAGTTTGCTCTGCTCCCTCGCTTTCACCCACATTCTATATCTATCTACGCTTGGGCGGGTCAATTCTATGGGACTGACTGGGAGGAAACACTATTATATAATATTACTTACAAGCTTTAGAGTACAGCAGGGGATTCATAAACTGACCAAATTCCTACCTATAAATTATAAAAATCTGTAATTCTAAGGTGCAAATTCTACGCCCTTTCTAGTGAATCAATTTCGGAAGACGTGACCCACCCATCTCTCTAGTTTGTAGCTTAATTCCTGTCACATAGCCCCGAGCAGAGCTCTCCAACTCCTTCCTCAGTGGTAGTAGTCGCCGTACTGATAGGTGGGCGGCTGCTTCGACCCCTTCCCGTTCGGCTGGTACAGATTGTGGTGCGAGGAGGAGCGGTAGGCGAAGCTGGGCGTGGCAGTCTCTGGGCGGTGCTGGGCGGGCGAGTGGGTGCGGCGCGCTCTCCGCTCCTCGATGTTCGCTGGCCAGCGCTGATGGCGCGTGGTCGAGTCCTCCGAGGATCGTCGGCGGTGGTATCGCTTTGCCGGCGGAACGGAGCCGGAGGCTGGCGGAGGCGTCCCATGCTGCTGACCGTAGCTGCTGTCGTCGCCGCTGCCAGCACTGAGCTGTTCCCTTGGTCGTCGCAGGCGCTCATCTGCGGAAGAATTTGGCGTTCCGTGGAGGTCGATGACATCGCCATGGGAGTTACGTCGCGCCCGTTGCATATCCATTTCCATGTCCAGGTGGTAGTTCTCGTAAGGACCGCGACGCTGTCCCTGACGGTGGCGCTGCTGCTGTTCGTGGGCATCCAGACGCTGGCGCCACTCGGCCGCCGACACCTGCTGGCCATAGAGATCAGGCTGGGCCTGGAACTGGTTCGCCCCTTGAGCTCCATAAATATTCTGGTAAGAGGAACGTCGCCAGCCTTCCTCGTAACGACGACGAGGTGACTCCCGAATGACAGCCTCCTCCTCGGCGGCGGCCGCCTGTTGATGACGGCGCTGCGACCGACTCGAACTGCTCTCCGAGGAATCCTCGCCGGAGGTGCCTAGGCCCAGGTCCTTCTCGTCCACGCCGTATGCCTTGTAGGGGGCGCCCAGGAAGCCCTTGGAGCTGTAGGGTCCATTGATGCCCATGGTCGGGTACTGCATGTAGTAGGATTGCGAGAATGGCTTCTCCAGCTGCCGCTCGTCTAGGCTGTCATCCATCTCGACTTCGCTGCCGTCATCCCTGCCCGTCCAGGTGAGGCAGGAGCCGGGTCCGAAGAGCGAGAGCAACACAGGCAGCAGGAAGAGTCCGTGCATGGCGCCAAAGAAGATCACCAGAAAGACCATCTTGAAGAAGACCAGGAAGATGTAGCTCTGGGCCAGCAGCAGGGCAACGATGCCCAGAATTGTGGAACTCGAGCCCTGGACAATCGGCAGGCCCAGGGAATGGAGGGCCTCACGAACACGAGCCTTGGGATTGCGCTTCTTCGAGGACATGTATGTGTAGCAGATGTGAGCGGTGAAATCCACGGAGAAGCCAATGCACATGATCAGGTTTATCATCGATATGGAGTCCAGGTTAACGTCCCACAAGGCCATGTAGCCGGCCACTCCGAGCTCGATGGAGATGACGGAGAAGGCTACCCACAGGGAGCACAGGATGTTGGGTATAAAGATGAAGGAGATGATCATCATAATCACAGCTCCGATTACCATAGCCTGCAGCGATACAGGACGCACCAGTTCGAACTGGTCGAAGAACACAAAGTAGGGATGGAAGATGGAGGCGTTCAGGGGCGAGTCCTTGCAGATTTTCCGCAGATCCCGCACCATTTCCTTCTCGTGGTTAGTATCCGTGATGTTGACCGCCTGGATGAGGAACCTTGAGGCTATGATCTGGGTCTCGTCATCGTTAAAGCGTACGTCCAACGAGAAGGGATTGCCGGGGAACAGCCAGTGCTCCTTAACTGCATCTATGAAGGTCTGCTCGTCGTCTACGGTCACGTTAAGCAGCTCATTGTTGCGCTCCAGGAAGGAGAGGAACGAGCGCAGCCACGACTCTGTGTACCGTCTGGAAGTCACATACGAGGTGTGCTCCAAGGTGCTGGTCAAGTTCTCCACCTGCTCTTGTACCACGGGATCCGAGTAGTTCAAAGGTCCAGCAATAATAACCTGAAAAAGGAACAAAATTGAAACATGAAACTGACTGATTTTAAGATTCATTTATGAACTTACCTGCATTCTGTAGGGAAACTCGCGGTAATAGTCATCCTCGCGATCGAAGAACTCCACTGAGTAGGAGTCCTCCCTGGATAGCTTGCGTCGCTCGAGGCCCTCCTTGATCTGGGTTATGCCATAGCAAGCACCAGCCAGGTAACTGGCAAAGGCCAGAATTATAATGATCTTGCACCATTTGTTATTGATCACCGCGGCCAGGTTGTCCTTGAAGAAGGCCATGAGCATGTGGTCCTTGTTGTCCACGGGATTGTCGGGATCCTTGGGGTCGATGCCACCCGCCATCACTGCCTTGTAGAGGAAGTTGCGCTTCTCTGTGGAGCCAAACCAAAACAAAACCGATAGAAAGAAGTGTGGTGAGACAAGTTCCCAATTGCAGCGACTCTTGTTGTGCTAAGACAGTGACTAGTCTAGTTGCTTTGCCTCATGATCAAGTTCATGTTGCAGCTGCTGGTGTTAAGCCATCTATCTAAACTGCGCCTGTTTTGATCCGGTTGTGGTGCTGTCCACAATTCAACTATACTAAGTAGACCTTGCAGCAAAAACACTCGCAAATAGGTTTAAAGCGCCAAGAGCATTTCAACAATATCTGCTGGATACTGACTCATTCTTAGATCTTCTCAAAAAACAAACATGTTTTTGAAACTCTGTTGAAATTGTGCACACAACGCCACGAGTCACAGAACAACAATAGCTCACAATCACATTCAGAGTCGACTCATTCAGTTCACTCACCTTTGATGGCCACCGACATCGGCTGGACCCGGCAACCGAAAATGGAATGCAAATTCTTGCGCTCCCTGTACCCGGAGATGGCCATGCAGGCGGCAAAGAAGGTGATGTGCCACAGGAACGTGAAGCAGACGGCAAACACCGAGTACGTGCAGAAGATCCTCACCGATCGGAAGGGACTGATGATGCCGATCAGGAACGAGATGAAGTCGGTGATCGAGGTGATGGTGATGGAGACGGCTGCCTCTGACATCATATGGCCCATTCGCTCTGGTACAGGCATTTTGGACTTTGTCCTCCGCCAACCGGCCAACATAACGAACGTGTCATCAATGCCAATGCCTACGAAAAGGATAAGGAATTAGTAACTATATTTAAAAAATGAATTAAACATTTTTTTTTGTAAATTAAATTATATTTATTTTTGCCGGAATCGTTCAGAGCCATTAGAACTTTACCAGACGTTTAGGATATGGAAAGGAAAATATGGAAGTTATACACAAATCTGAATCACGTGCATAGTATATAACGTTCTCTTATAAATAAAGCATTTTTCACCTTATTATTCTTATTATATTTATCTATCTGGACAAAATATACTATATGAAGTTAAGTTTATTGAAAGTGACTATCTAATATTTTATTTTTTTATTGTTATCTATTAAACGAAATTACATTTATTTGGAGATATATGTACAGATGTACAATGCTTAATATTTCCCCATGATAAAACACTGCAATATATAGGGACTTCACACCTTACACAAGGAGAAAACTATTACCTTCCTACTGATCAACGTACTCTGTTTTAATGCGGGTATGATACTGGTTCACAAATAGGTAAGTTTAGTTTGCGATAAATGTTATGTTTGGTTTAAATTTCTTTTAAAATTCCACTCAACATATACAGGATTAAAATGTAAATGATAAAAAGACAATACATAAATTCTCTATATGTATCCATTCCATATCTAATGTTTTCAGTAATCAGTATCATAACCGAAAAACCACTAAAGACTCTTTATCATTTAAAAATTGGTTTCTATGCAGGTCATTGTACTTTCGACCAGTTAAATTGGACGTTTTTACTTATAGATAGAAAACCGTGCCTTGACAAAAAGGGCACATAAATAATTTTAAGAAGTTGAGAGAGAATAAACGTAAACCTAAAAAAATATTAAGCTCTTGATAATATTTATATGATTGCAAATAAAACATATAACTATACTATTACTACTACTATTACTATATGTTTAAATAATAACTCTTACTCACCGATCATAAGAAAAGGGGCTGCCAAATTGATGCCGATAAACTCAATGCCGCAGTACATAGCCAGGCCAAAAGCAGCTAAGGTGGCCATAATAGCTGAGACGTTACCCATTAGACCCAGGAAGGGCTTGGAGCGCACAGCATCTCCCATCATGCAGGTAATGACACTGAGTTTTAAGAAGGACATTTTAACATTATTTAACATTTAGATTTAATACAATTGTACTTACCTAAACAAACCCATCAGCAGAAATGTGGAGCTAAAATAGGGCACTACAGTCTTGGTGTTTTTCTCCAATTCGTGATCCAGAGTACGAGAGGCAAAGTATGAGACCGATATGTGTTTAAACCGTCCGGATTCCTCTGCTTGTCCAACGACCTTCAGAAATGTTTCCTCCCATTCCGCACCCCTGGAAACAAATAAGAACGTTAGATTTGCCACAATTAAGGTGCATTATCGATCCTACTTGGCATCCTGACGCTTAGTGTCGGCTGTCACAAAATACACCAGCTGTATGGCCGGGACACTGATCACAATGTTGTCCTCGGTGAGTTTGGTTCCGCCAAAGAACACGGGGAATAGATGAGCATCCCAGGTAACTGGATTGAACATGAAGGGGAAAGTCAGGTTAAGCTGACCCGCTTCAATCTGAAATTAAGGAGAGAAATATTATGTTAACTATATAGATCTTTTATTACGATTGCACTAATCGGATAAGTTAGGAAAACAGTGGCTTGTCCTTCACTCACATCATCCATCAGTGCGTCCAGATTGAGGATGTCGTTCTCGAAGCACTCGCTCTCCCATCGGGCGCAGTTGTCCTTGTAGGTGTACGTGTCCCCGTCGTAGGTGGTGCTGGCATTCTGAATGATGTCGTCCAGCTGGCGCAGCTCCTGGAACACCTCGCGCCTAATCATGTTGTCGTCTCCATCTTTCGTTATCACAATGACTCGACCGAAGCGACCTGGAAAACGGGTGGACAGGTGTCGGATTAGCACCGGTGACCATGGTTTAGCGCAAAGAGCAAAGCACGCCGTTGGCAAACAATTAGTGACTTTGTGGACTTAGGTTCGAAGGCTGCCGTATTTTGCTCCGGCCGCCGTTACCCACACGCCGAGTCGTGACAATAATTTTAATTGAATTCCATTTGATTGAGGCTTCGCCCGATTATTTCACTTGTGTTTCTGTTTGCTCGTTTATCGGACTTCCACTTAATATTAGACGATTGTCCCAAACGTTATTCGAATTTAATGCGCCATAACCAATGCAGCTTCATATACTTGCGTCACAGGTTTGGTGCGGCTTTTCATGCCAGATATTTGTATATGTCGACACTTACAATAAATATAACTATAGCTGTACGTACTACTGCATTTAAAATTATAGAGATCTTGTACTATTACGTTTTCCATCTCGTTAACTTAATAATAAATGTTATAAATATGAGTAAGCCTATGATTTTTGTGAAACCAGAAGGAAAAAGGTTTGAAAGTAATCCGTGGTTCGTTTCATCAGTTGCAAGTATTATATAATAAATAATATTGATCCGTTGCTTTCATGTTCAGTTTTCCTTATAAAGAATCAAGATCGGTTCATGCTTGGTTCGATGAGTTTTTCCAACGAGATAAAACCCCATACAATAAGATAATTGATTGATTGTTGAGCGAGTTGGATCTAAGAATCCTTACATCATCCTAGACATTCCTATTTTGCAAATGGTGCCTAAGTACCCCGTTTTAAACACATAATCATACAACTTATATAAAATGAATACCCAAAATATTTGACCATTTATTACCAGGGTATTAAAAGTTTCGATGATGCTTCGCTTTAAGTTGTGAATGAACTTGACATGTTTTTTATGATATTTTCTGTCATCAACAAACCATTCACGTTTTGCAAGCAATTGTCAATGAATTTTGTTAAACAAAAGCTGGTTTTATTGATTGCAGTTCGAACAACCAGAAGTCTTTCGATTCAGTAAATCCTTGGCCGCTGAATGTGGTAGCACTCGAAAAATCAACTCAAATCGTAACAATTATTTGTCTTGGAGCAGGAAGTCAAGCAGCGAGGAAATCCTAACTTTCCGGCAACAGGATCAACAAAACTATTGTCTATAAGAGTAGTAATAATCGAGCAATGCTTTTATATAACATGTCTGTGGAGCAACAAAGCGCCTAAATTAATTAATTTTGGCATTTCTCTTGATGCGCTCCATAAACAAATTTCCAAAAGACCGGGGAAAGTTGCAGCTTGCAAGCAAGTTGGTTCGCTTTTAACCGTCTTGTGGCACATTTGGCCAAAGTGCAACCGAAGCGGAGCACTGAGCTCCGTGGCTAACTGGTCGTAACCGCCTAAATGCGGTCTAGAAAATCCCCCAGCAGCGATCGCATGGATGTGCCGCATGTACATATGTTATGTATGTAGGTATGCATCCACATTCGCTCATGGATCGCTCATGGCCGCCGGCACAGTCGCTGGCTTTTCGTACAAATCTCAGTCAAAATAAAGTTCAATGATGAGCGAAATCGAAGCATGGATACATGTACAGATATTTATTTGATGCCACTTGTGCTGTGTACAAATGCGCACGCGTGGCTTCCATCGAGAGTCCGTCACAGATTGATGCGCTGATCTGCATGCGTCTCGATCCAAGAACTGCCGAGTGCACATCGAGTGCAGTTTAGGAGAACGGCTCTAAGCACTTGTTTCACAAGAATAATGGCTAACGGCCTTTCGGAGCGAAATTGCTTTGAGCAACACGCAGCGAACACTCGCACGGCTCGCAAAAGTTAAAAAGTAATGGTTTCGCAGTTATTTCAGCCAATTCCACACGTTTCTCCCATCATTCCACTCAGCAATGTCCGAGCTGCTTCGTTTTTTGCAACAAGCATTTAAGACCGGCCAAATTATGCAATTTTTAAGGGCCCTACTACTGCACACCCAACGATACAAATAAGTCTGCGACAAAACAGTTGAGGCCAATCCTCTCCGTAAAATATTACAAAAGATACAGATGGATGGTGTGGTCGAAGAATAGTAAATCATATGGATATCATAGTTTAAATAGCCACACCTCATTATTCAAATATAGAATCAGAATCAATCTACATCTGGCTTAGGATCTTTCTACATGTAGTTTTTATGGAGGTAGAAATGCAGCATTATTACTTCCAGTACCCATAAAATACAGAGATATTTATAACTGTTATCGAATAGTTAAAACGGTGTTTCGTTTTTTTTTTTTAATTTTTAAAATTGGATAACCAACATGGGAGTTATTTAATATTTAAACATCTGCAACATCTAAATGTTTGTTGACACCACAAGTTGCTCAACAGCTTCCTAGCAACATTTTCCTCTATTTGAACGTTGAGCAACGTGTGTCTAACAAGATTTGGGTTTTCATCTGCTTTCAGCAATGTTTAATTTGTTTTTCAATCAATTTTAACAAAGTTAGACAAATTAAACTATGTTCTGTGGTAACTCAATTAAAGTTTTCCAATTTGTTTTAATGCAATAAAGGTAATAATATTCTGGTGTCTGTACGTTCTTTACTTTCTCACTGAAACAATTTCGAGCGTGTAATTAATTTTGATGTTATTTTCATGGGTAAGGATTTTGCTACTCGTGTTTCAGCATCTCTGCTCAAGTTTTGATGGCACAATGTCATTTGGCAATTATGCGGTACTTTGCTTAAGTTAGCTAAACCCATTGTTGTAGCTGCTATTATTATTAATGTTTCTGCTGTTACTATTATTGTAGTTCGGCGATGCTAGTGGTGGTGGTGGCTTTGCCTAATAAACCATTTAGCGAAGTTAATAGCCTGTAAAACAGTGCCGAGTTCAAGACCCCAATAAATGCTAAGATATTGTGTCTCCATCTCGGTCGTGTGCTGAAATTATTTATTGCACACTGGAGCCGAAAGTCAGTGGATGGCAGGGCGGAGACGAGGGAAAGCCCCCAGCCTCCTCCTCGTCAAGGTGCAAAAAGATGTGTGGCAACGTTTAATTTGCCCGAAAAGCTTGCCACAATTGCGACCAGGTGCGCACACTCACCGGGCCTCGTAATGCGTCCGACATTGAAGCGATGCGTGTAATTCACTTTAAAATACTGCTCGACGATGGCGCGCTCAGTCTTGCCTTCCCCCGCAATTGGTGAGAACAGATACTCGGGATCGATTTGATATTTTAGCTGCTGGTAGCTGTGATAATAAGGGATTAGTTAGCTAGAGTTTACTAAGCCTCCGAGGACTTGGCTTACTCACCCCGTCATACAGAGCATCGTCAGGAGCACCGGAATGATGATAAAATACCCCGGGTGCTTGGCTATGCAAACTCCCAGGTGGTAGAAGGATTTGTTTAGTGTCTTATCGACACACGATATGCCGCAGGTCATCTGTAAGTTAAAAGAGGAAAAGATTAGCACAAGCTCTAAAGTTCTTATTAACAAATAAACCTATATCCATTATCTAATATAACATTGAAGCTGTCTAATGTGCGGTTTGTCCGGTGAAGGTGAAAAAGGCGTGATGGAAGTCGTTATTATATATATTAATATCGCTAAATGTGTCTACGGGCATAGAAATAGACATGTGTACCCTAGTGCTCGTTGCCGTGTCTGTTTGGCTTTGTTCATCTACACCTTCAACTTAAACTTTAGACACGCATTGTTTTTGGTTGCCTCACTTTGCTGCTGTTTGCCTAAACGAATCTCGGCAAATGCCCTTGTTCATCCCCCTCACTCCCTTCTGAACGCCAAAGTGAGAAAAAAAAAACAAAAATAAAACAAAATTCGTGAACAACATTAACAAGGAAACTCCTAATAATGTTCATTAAAATGCTTATGGAAGTCAAGTACGTTGGTATAACATTTTATATGCTCTTTTCGTATAAAAAACGAACACAAAAAATCAATAAAACCATATCAGCAGGTGCAAAATATTAAGCCGCCCCCGGGTGGACTCGAACCACCAACCTTTCGGTTAACAGCCGAACGCGCTAACCGATTGCGCCACGGAGGCCATGCAAGCAGCGAAAAAAGTACCAAACTTTACAGCACGCGCAAAAAAGGGCCCAACTCAGATAACAGTATAAATAAATTCTAATAAGAACTGCTTAGCTGCTTAATTTGACAGAGTTTTCAAGAGCAGCGGTAGCTCTGCCCCAGCGCGCTGAACTAGAGCATCCGTCGCAGCAAAGTCAGCAGCCTCCGTGGCGCAATCGGTTAGCGCGTTCGGCTGTTAACCGAAAGGTTGGTGGTTCGAGTCCACCCGGGGGCGGAATAACTTTTTTGTTATTTCGATTAAAGTATTTTTAATAGATTATAATTTTTATTTTATATATATTTTGTAATCATTATTTTTAATCAATATAATTTTTTTCTTAATTATAACTTTTACTTTAATTATTACTTTTCCTTGTTTCTTTGTGAGTTTATTAAAAATAGACTAAAAAATACACGGAAAATATTTTAATTAGATGTAACGACTAAAACCTATTTCAAGTTAAATAAAGTCTTTTTTATATTTGTCTACTGTATTTTATACCATATTAGTGAACAAATTCTTACTACTAAGCCTTACATTTTTGCAAATTAATTTTTTTAAGATTGTCAAAATTTAAAATACATTTTGTTGAATTATTATTTAGCATTTAAAACCCACTACAAATATTTAAGAATGAATTCCGGCTCTATTTTTGTATTTCCGAAGTTTCATACCCCACAGTCATGCTCACCAAAGACATTTTCAACACTAATTCATTTTTGTAAGATTGTTACAATTTAAAATACGATTTTGAATTATTATTAAGCTTTGAAAACCCACTAAATTTAAAAATGAGTTCCGGTTCTTTATTTTTTGTATATTCTACGTTTCATCCCACACAGTCATGCTCACCAAAGTCATTTTCAACACTAAACATTAAATATTATGAAAATTATTTATTTGCTTTACGTCCCGTGCAAGCTGCGCAATTTGTTTGGGCCATTTGTCATGCCAGACACAGAGCCAATTTGGGTTCAGAGGCATTATGAATGTGTTGGGGCACAAAGGAATATTGTACCTAACATGAATAGAACATTAACATTGGCATACGCTCAGTCGTCAGGCAGACAAAATGGCAAAAAATCATAAGGAAAACAATTTAGACAAATGAGAAACAAAAGCAGCAGCTGCAGGTGAAGGTGTCATCTCTCAATTGCTTCATTACTCTCGGGTTTTAATTTACTTGGCTTTTGGTAGACCAAAAAATTCAATTTGTCGAGCGGCCCAAAACCCGCTAATTCATCCAAGTTTACTTTCCATTTTTTTCATTATTTTGGTTCAGTATTTTGTGTAAGGGGTTCAACGACAACTGACGCTGCACTTTTACCAAAATGTAACAATCTTGTTTTGCTTTTCATACACTAAACACTGGCATTACAACATATGGCTAAGCTCGAGCTTAAGCCGAGCACTTGGCTCGCCAAATTGAGTCACGGCGCTGCCTCAAGGTTATAGCTCTGGCTTCAGCGCCAACTCTGACTCCAACGCCGACTTCGGGCGTCTGGCCGCCACTCGCTGACATAACGGTTCATTATGTCAAAGTGGTTTAAGAAACAACAACGCGGTGCCCTCTCTTTAGGCCCACAGCTGTGTAGGTTTTCCTACCACTCGGGAGGAGGTGTCAGTGTGTCAATATTTGGGTTCATGTACTCGGAAAAGCGGGTTTTCTGGACGTGTTAATTGGTTGCAAAGGGAGCATATAGGGAGGGTTTTTTTTGGGATCATCAGCTCTTTCTCTTCTCGTCTTCCCATTAAAAACCCCCATCAATATGGCGTCCATGAAGTTATGCAAAAGTTAAAGCTAAAAATATATTTAACAATATGGACAAACTCTCATAACAAACAGCTTCCGCTCAAAAACCATTAATGAACTTTATAAATTCATGTCGCAAGTTGGATGGCACCTGGATCCTCCGAAGACGACTCATCATCATCATCAGCTCGGTCTTTATGGTTTTCATAACCCCATGGGACCCCTATCTGTTTAGATTTCTTCAAAAAATTTGACGTCAGTTTAAACTGGTATGAAAATACATGTATTCGAAATGCAATATCATGTCTTTGCCCGAATTGTGGCTATGACTAAAGCGATTTTAGGCGGCACATGTTATGAAACTGTGGGCGAAGCTGAAATCCCAAATCGATGGGCACCTGACTCACAGAGTTTCGGTTTGCGTGCAGTGCCTTGAACCGGTGCAAAATGCGTGCCAAGAAAACCGATTCGATTCGCTTCGTTCCCAGAAACCTGTCAACTTGCCCATCCAAAATATGGAGTTTTTTCTTTCTGCTGGCTTAGATTTTTGCATAATTTGTAGGTCAAGTCGCTTTGATTCATGGCGGATTCTTTCCCTTGGCCAACCCAAATTTTCGGTATGCATATATTTCGTATTAATACTCAAAGCGATTGCGAATGTTTAGTCCGCGATTGGAACGCACGGCAAAAGCTTTTACATATGACGCGAGAAAGTTGTTGACCAAAATGAGTTTGTCGCTTCAGTCTTTTGTTTCTTGTTGTTTTTACTTTCTGTGTCAGGCAATTTGGCGTTTTATTGTTTGGACTTCTGGCCGCTTCATTGTTGCTGCATTGCTGTCTATTCCCAAAATGGATGGCTTTCTGAAAGCATTTAATAAGAGCCACGGATACTTTCGGGTCTGGTAAAAGTAGAACTCAGGGGTCTCTATCAGCTATAGTATTTAGCTCCCCAGTTCCCTGACACATATTGCCGCCTTAATCACGGCTTTGTTTTCTTTGGCCGGGCTTACATAACTCCCGGTTTCGTCCAGCCCCGTTTAGATATTTGTTGAGCCCGCTGCCTGATGCCTGGTTTAAACAATTTATATAATGCATATTTACTAGCTAAAGAAGAAGAAGAAGAAAACGAAGGAGGTGAAAAGCGAGCAGCGCAAAAATTGATTGCGAGGCGAGCAAAACGATTGCAAACTTTTGGCGAGTTTTTCTTTCTGACCGCGTCAACAACTTTCACTTTTGTGCGTTGCGGCGACGGCACACGGCATAAATACCGCGAAATTACAAAATTAATATTAATTAATATTTAAATATATTTCGGCATCAATTATTGGTTCCTCGTCATTATCAGCCTGATTGTGGGTTTTGCCTCTAATTAATTTGGGTCAAGTCATTGAAGTAGAACGCAAGAGCGATATGTGACCTTAGCACGTGGGCGTGACATATCGGCGGAGATTTGTATAATTACTGTTGTCAAAGCCGGCTTAAGCCAGTTCAGTTTTTACCAATAAGTATTTAGATATATGTCTGATTTTCGTATCTGTATTTTTTTTTTGGCAACAGTTGGCCAACTGGAAAAGGTCTCTTACAATTGAAATCGGTTGCCTCACAAATGTTTGCAATGAATTTTAATTAGTTTACCTCGAGGCTAACAAATTAACATTGAGCACCTTATGTTAATTATTTATGGCTGTTTTTCGGCTAAGTAAAGGGTGGGCAGCTCAATCGATGGGGCCCTATCGAGGCTATCGATTGTTGTAAAGGTAATCACTGTCGTACTTAAGTGGCTGTTTCACTACACTGCATTTGAAAATTGGTATTGAAAATATGATATATAAGTTTGGATGCACTGATTAATTATTTCACTTTTGGGTTAGTACTGCATCATAGATCTTTCTTACAGAAATAAGCGAATCTTTTTTATTGGTCTAGAAATGACTGAAGAAGTAGTCAAAAATATGTAAGCCAATCCCTTAAGTTCTTCAGTATTAGCAATTGAACAAATATTTGCCAAAAGGTGCCAAGAAATTCTATAGTCGGAATTCGGAAACACAGATTCTGTGAAGAGTTTGATTGTAGCAAAATAACCTCTGACAAAATCCATAGTAAGAAATCTGTTGAAACTTGTCTAAACAATCCTTGCTGCATAATGGTCTGTACGGGATTTTGGCATATAGTCACATCAAGCCAATTTGAGCTAGAGTAAGCAATAAATAATCTGAAATTTAATTATTATAATCTAAACTGGCAAAGCACTAAAAAAAAAGGAGGAAAAATCTAAAGAATTGAATATATGTAAAAAATTGTTGGTTGGTAACACTTATCTCCAATGTATTGCCAATTATATTTTATTCCTTAACCCATCATATTTATTTTTTCCCCGTCTCTAGCGCTACAATATTTTTATTTTATATTGGCTACCTATTTTATTTAAAATCTAAATCACCTTATTTAAACTATGCTATTATTGACAAAATATTGGCATTTGAAAGCCCTGATAGTACTTAAAACTTTTGAGTTTTATAAAGGAAACAAGCAATAATTATAAATTAAATTTAAATTTGTATAATTGATCGACATTTACATTAACTGTCACTTAATCTAATCTTGGGGGATACTGTCATACTCTTCATGGTCAATACCAATAGAGGGGCCTTGGAACGTGGCGAAGGTGTAGGACAGTCAGGTTCTGCCTCTCGGTAGAAGCCACGAAAAAATTCACTTTCTACTTTTTCTGCGCCTCTTGAATGGATTGGCCCCACTGGACGGGACGGGACGAGACTGACACAAGCCGCATGCGTTCAGCCTGGAACTGGGTCAGACTCTCACGCACACTCGTGGCTTAAACACACACCAAACACACACACATACACACCGTGAGGTGGCCGCTTTCAATTTGAATTCAACTTTTTGGTTTGTTTGCTTTGCATTAATTAACCATTTACCTGGCGAACTGTTAAGAAAAACTATTTTATTTCGGATTTATCGGCGCTTTGTTTGGTCACAGATCTGTGGGTCAGTGGAGCAGAGACCCAGAGAGTGCCTTAATCTGATTTCATTCATTAAACGCAGCTTAAAAAGTGATTGAAAACAAATTAGGGGTAAGTGTATCAAGATATGAGACACTTCCGGTGGACACAGCCTTCCTTTTTGTGGGTATTAAAATTCCAAATTAAAATAATTAAAAATTAACCCTAAACTCATATAGAACATTATTGAAATACAAATAATCGATGGTATTCATGATAATCAGCTCTTTAATTAGAACTAATGAAGCAAAAACCATAACTTACACTTTCTCGATCACTTTTACTAGCTCGGATTCACTTTCCTCGGATATTAGATTAGTTAATTATAGCAGAGTTTTTCCGTCAGTGGAGAGTTAATAAATCAACCAATTGACACACAGTCGACGGTAAAACTCAGAAATGCCAAACGACAAAAAGTCTAATATGAACTCTCTGAGAAGAGAAATGGCGGCGAAGAAACGGAACGAGAGAGAAGCGAAGAAAGAAAGAAAAAGAAAGTGCAAGGCTGATCACATATCATGTGTACAACACATATATGTACCTACATATAGATATATACATATACACGTGCATGCTTAGCCGATCGTAACGGCATCTGTGGCCTGAAACCAGCTGAGAGCTTCGGAAAGAGGGGACTCCCCCAGGTCCCCACCCTCACTCAATATATGTGCATCAAAATTCCAAAAATAATTAACTTTTCCGAAAGTTTCCCAAAATATGCAATGATTCAGCAACGATCTCTGATTTGTTCGCTCACTGTTAATCTTTTGTGCAAACATTCAATTATAGTTTGGCTTAAAATTTAGCAAATTATGAGCTGCTTGAGGAGTTGCTAATTGAAAACTGTGAACGCCTAATGGAGCAATAAATGTTATATGTGTGCGAGATCAGGTCTCCCGCAGAGCCTGTGTGCATTGAGCAATTTTCCCAGGGAGAAGGAAAATCCCCTGCACGGGAAACCAGTTCAACGCGGTTCCAGGCTACCTGCTGTTCAATTGAAAATGACCACCAAGATGGGGATGAAATCTCCAGTCTAACTCAGGTAAGACTTGATCGGATATTATAGGGTTAAACTGTACGCAGTGTCCACGCAAATACACAGAGAAAAAATATTAAGGAAAATGGTCAACAATCCGTATTGTTCTTTTTATTAAAAAGGAGGGTTATTTCAAGGCACATCGACATTATGTTAATTATGTTAATTCCTTGGAAAACCAATAAAGTGTTAGTGGTTGCAGTTATAGAGAATCGGGCTTTGATTAAAGGTTCTTTTCAAACAATACACTCTGATAATCTTAAATTGCAATCACTCTTAGAATTTAGGTTCAACATATTGCTGGGAAGTCAGTAGATATATCAGTTATATCGATTTGCGGCTTTGTAACTAAGGATGAAGATTGCTATTTAGTTTTTACAATACATTGAAGCAGCTAGAAAATAAAAAAATAAATCTTAGGAACAGGAACGGAATCGGAACGGATCGGAAAGATTGCGGTAGATTTTACCCCCTTGGGTACGTGGAAAACAGTTTCATTGAGTGAAGAATCGATTATAATATAATGCAACAACTTTATCATTTCAAAGATAAAATTCCACCGAAGTTCCTACTAAAATGCAAACAGGTTAAATTGCAATTAATACGTTTCATGTAATGTGTTTAAAAAATGCAGGTGGGGGGCCACTATATATCGTTTATCTTGTTACATTGGTAACCGAAAGCAATGCACGTCTTTTGATTCGGCTATAACCTTGGGCATAATGGGACCCAAGCCAAGACCAACAAATGTATGAAAATCGAATGCGCCAGATGAGCCAATCAACCGGTTTCCTTTTTGCCGCGAATTTCACTTGAACTTTCATTAACTGGGCCGAGCAACTCCCTCTGTTATGTCCACGGTCCAGTGTCAGGTGGTCCGATCTGGCAAACCGGATCACCAGAGTTCAGTTTTTATGTAATCACTCTTGCTTTCGTGTGTGGAGCCCGAAAATGCAAACGCCAGCAGTGATGAGGGGAATGGGAATCCGTGGTCATCATTGGCCAATGATTGCCATTGAATATTTTCCCTGGCCATTTTCTTCAAACTTCATATCGTTTGGGGCGGGGGAATTCCTGGTTCGTGGCCCACTTTCCGCCACTCAGGTGAGTGTGCTGGCTTTAATTGTGAGCCGTAATTGTAGCCGCTCTCAATTCCAACTGCATTAATTTGGCTGTCAAAAGTCTTGAGTTTCTTTCCCGGCCGTCGTTTGCATATGAGTTGGACTTGGCACCGCCGGCGGAGTGGCAGATTGTTGTGGCAATTGCATTCGCAGTTTGGAAAAAACGTCAATTAGGTTTTATTGCTGATGCAAATAATCGCAAACCAGTTCACTTAGATTTCGGATACTCGGATCTACGCCAGTAGTTCGTATTAGTTTAATAAACTCGAACTTAAATTGTCCATGAAAATGTTCCTTCTGGTTTGCTGAGCAGACTTCACAACGCCTCATGCTTTGAATTACTGAGCCCACTTTAGTTATGTTTCCATTGTGGCACATAATTTCTACACCGCCAAGAATCAGTTGTAAATTCATCAGCCTTAATAAAACCAAATATATGTACCTACGACCAGTAAGCAGTAACTCATAGCATTGAAGAAAAATAAAAGCACTTCATTTTAAGTGCTGCTTGTGCAAAATTGTTCGTGCTCCAATGATCTTTTAAAATATCATTAAAATGAATGTCACCCTATATGTTATGTGCATAAATCAGTCTTAGAAGTCACCTAAACTTCTTGAATTATTTGATGACTTTTTCAGAGAAATTCGATGTAAGTCTTTAGCTAAAGCTGAGATGACTTTAATGTATTTTAAAATACATTTTTAAATATTACAGGAGACAAAAAAACACCGTTGAAAAAACATTGTCAATTATTCCAGAATAGCTAAAAAGTAGCTATATATGTTTAAAGATGAGATGTATTTGTAAATAATACAGAATAGAATATTTAACAAGAAATTCGTAGTTAATCTTCTCTAAAAACATATACCTTATCATATTCATTTCCTTTTATTAACCAGATTTCTTTGGGTAAGTCATTCCCAACAACGCACTTTCTGTCCAACATTCCGAAGCGCAATTGTCGCCGGCATTTATTCAATTTCAACCCCTAAAGCATCAGCACCAACCCCCAGTGGGAAAAACTACGACACAAATCAAATAATATTTATTCTCAGAAACCAGGATGCTTTAGAACCCCAAACCGAACTCACCTTGGAGGTATTATTTCTCCTATTTCGCTTAGTTTTCTTATCCAAAAGGTTGTTATATTTATAAATTCAATTGAATTTTAAGCCGAGTTATTTTTGTGTCAGAAGTTTCGTTGCGCCAACAAATTGCACTCTGCGTGTTTCGCCTTTCACAGAATTTCTCTCATTAATATTTAAAAAATTGCACACTCTTAGCACTGGTTTCGACCATCATCATTATTTGGATCATTTCACCTGACGGACGGGGGCACGGGTCGGGGTATCCAGGAGGGGAACTACTCGCACGACGACCGAAGGCTTCGAGACCAAATCACGGACTGAGCGATCTCGGATCTTGCTCCAGCGGCTCGCGACGCCTCACGTCTCACGGATCGCGCCTTACGTTACGGCCTACGCGGAGGCTGCGCAATTTCGAATTCAGTGACCGTTAGCGTTCTTTTGTTCGCGGCCAAATTAACTTTGATTGGGATTCTCGCCGTCGACGAAAGAAAGGAGGATAGAAGAAAGCTGCGCGCACACGACCGCCGCGCACCACGTAACGGAATCGAATGAGGGCCTTACGTCGAGCTCAGCGCTCTCGCTGCGCTCAATCTCAGCTCAGCTCACCTGTTGCGAACGCTTACGCTCTCTCTCCCTCTCTCTCTCTCTCTTTGTGCGCCTTTCGCACTCTCTGCCAGGTGAGTGCACCGGTTTGCAGCTGTTCGCATGAATTTCGGGAAAAATCCGCGGCTCTCCTTTCCTTTGTATACCTGTTTCCATCTTCAGGTGGGCCCGCGTTGTTGCCGCTGCTGCAGCAGTCTGAAGGTCGCATTTTCGCTCATTAATCGCCGCTTTCTTCTGCGCCTGCGCAAAAGATTTTGTGGGAATTACCATCGCGGATTCAGGTGAATTTCGGCTGGGCTTAAGTGGCCCAAACGCGGCCCTAAAACCGATGGAAAGGTGTTTCGCTGGAATCGCGCACCACTGGGTCACCATCTTGGCTAGGGTCATAGTGCAGCTGTAGATAGAATATTGAATATCGGAATAAACAGAAAATATTAAATAGTTGCCTTACTCTTTAAGTAAATTAATCTTAGTTAATTAATTTAATTTAATTTTATTCTGAGGGCTAAGAAACATTAAAACATTTAGAAACAGTGTCTTAATTGAAGGGCTGATACATACCACAGTATGTCTAAAATACGGAATGTTTTACCTACAAATAATACATACCATGTACCATGATTGTTTTAAGAAACTGTAAATGATTAAATCCCTTTTCAAACGCGTACATGGTACTATAATTATGATCAGAAGTGAGGTAGTTATTTGCAAACACTCAAAGTAGAAATAGTCCGAATCAGCAGTCGAACTGATCTAGCTATGTATGTATGTTCGTTTGTCCATATGTTTACCTCTCAGTTTTCGATCTATCTAAACGAAACTTTTCAGTTCGCCTTTTTTAATTTCACCCTTATCAGAACATTTAAACGTTCTCATCTTCGAGACATAATATTGTATTCTTTTAGAATTTCAGTTTTAATTTTATGTAAATCGGACTACTTTTTCATAAAGCTGCCATTGGAATAATCGGGATATTAAAGTGTAAATAAAGTGTATTATTTTGTATTAGATATGGATAGATTTTAAATGATCAATTGCAATCTGCAAAAGCATACAAAATTTGGCGTTTTTGTTTTTGTTCCTTTAATAAATAATATACTCTCTTTATTCCTCCGCAGAGGACAATTCATGAATCAGAAGAAATAGTTGTGACATTAAATAAATTGATAGTTCAGTCAGCACATTTTCGTCTCGTGTGTCATTTGCAGGCAAATTGGCGTAAAATACTCTGGAAACTATGCGACATAAAACTAATTTTCATAAAGGCGAGTTAATAATTTTCCCAAACGAATTTCTAAATCCGAAATGGCAAACAGAAAAGTTTGAGAGGTGGACAGCGACAAGTAGTAGTGAGCAGTTCGAGAGGGACAGGGACACAGATATTACGGCTGAGAAATTTAAGCGGAAATTTTAATAAAAATCATTTAGAATTTATTTCAAACAGAGAAAAGTGCACACAACCAGAGGCCAGCGGGAAGGGACAGTGCGCTCCAAAAGTATACACATGCGCAGCCACAAACAATGAACTATTGGAAGTGTACGGCCGCCGCGAGCAACGCTCCGAATCTCCATATCCATCTACATAAAAGGTGTGTGATATATAGTATCAGTGAGTGTGAGATATAGTATCAGTGAGTGTGAGATATAGTATCCGATCTGTGTAGTAATGCCAGCTGGGCACGTTCAACTCGGCCGAGGAGGATTGGATTGGATCGGCCGGGTAATTGAGCAGAGTACGAGGTATAGCGCACAGCTCGCCGGGCAAATGCTGAATTCAATTCTGGGCAATCAAGCAATGCGATCTATATATACACTCGAGCACTGATTCCAGCATTAACACTGTCCAAGGCGGCAACGTCGGCGACGGCATTAGTGAGAACACTCCTGATTGGCTTCTGAATGCGCCCGCCAAGACGGCTCTTCATTGGTTTCCCTTCACGGTTTTGCAGGTCCCGCGGCTTATCCAAAAGCTACGTCTTCATTCTAAAATATGCTTCGTGCTGCCATTGCCCCCGAATGTCCTTCAAGCGATGCAGTAGCACTTGTTCCTGAAGTCGGTTTAACACGTAAATGATGTATGCCAAAGGAATCTAAACCGAATACATTTTGATCACCATCTACTTGGATCTATCTAGCGGGAAAGAAAATAAGGCCATTTAATGCATTTGTAAGTCTTTAAAAAAAATCCGGAAAGAACACCACGGTATGCCTAAAAAACTCGCTCCAGAAGTTTTAAGGAGAGAGCCATCCAGAATCCATGCATCGGTCAACCGATTTGATAAATTTAAATTTATAGTCATCGTGATATATAAAAACAGAAACTCTAAACAATACTAAATAATCATAAAAATATAAAAATGGCAAGATATGATATGATGAACAATAATAAGGTTACATATGTATGTATATTACTGTTATCCTATTAATTTTTCGATCATTTCTACAGCAGGTATGTGATATAGAAATCCGATCTCGCAAAAGTCAACAACATGCAGCATTAAAAATTGGCTATTCTATATACTATCTGAAAAATGTTTCATGTATGTATATACATAATGCCTGAGTACCTACATATGTGCATAAATTGCTTTTTATGGCAACACATGTACAAAGTAATTTGTAAGCCTGATTGAGGTTCAAGTTCACAAAAGCATTATTAGAAGAAAAATTTCCTCTCCTATTAAAAGATTCCCAAAATAGATTAAATTTGTGACTTGACAACACGGACGCCACTTTAAGAGTGGTTTTTGTGTACGCAAATTAAATAATTAAAAAAAAGTATAAACACAAATTCTTGTCTTCGGGGAAGAATTTCAATTAAAACTCACTACTCTTGTCCGTATGTTCACTAGGTTTAGAAATTAATATTATCATCAAATCGGAAAGGAAAATGTTCAAACCATATTAGTGTGCATCTTAATATTATGAAAACTTTAAGAGTAGTAGAATATATATTCGAATATTAGATTTATCAATAAATCATAGTGTCATTGCTCATTAAAAGCTGGAAACTAGACCTTTTTTGGGAATTTATTCAAACGTAATGAACTATTATTTAAGTTAATTAAATAATTTTTAGTTAGTCATTTATAAACTTTCACTCGTATATATGTCGGAAATATTGGAAAATTAAAAAAAATATATATCTTTTTCATTTTTCAAAAGATTTTCATATAATTTGGGATATAGCCATTTTGCATTGCTTCGTTGTTCTTATACCTTTTCAGGTTATTCTAAGTTTAGTCAGAAGTTTGCAACGCAATGATGGATCATATAAAGTCTGACGGACATGACTAGATCGACTCGGCTGTTGATGCTAATCAAAAATATATAGAGTTTATATGGTCGGAGATGGCTCCTTCACTGCGCTGCAAAGTTCTGACTGAAATTATAATACCCTGCAAGGGTATAATAAACTGCTTCTGCTCCAAGCTATTCGAGATTCGCTACTTGTCATTCAAAAGTTAATTAATATACCTAGCTCTTGGTTCCTATTCCTATTTTCTTTAAAATAGAGAGACAAGCTTTTTGTCTGTGCAGCATCTGTGGCATTTGTTTCATTTTCATTGTTTCAAAATATGCATTTCAACACTTATCGTGACACTTTCCAACACTGGCGGTGGCCATGCGCAAGCGCAGCCAAGTTCACGTGGGAAAAGTTTACTTCTATTTCAAATAATTTGTGATAAACTTCGAGGTCTTTTTCCGATGGCGATGTCGAGCAATTATAATTTGCGGACCAAAGTGCTAGTCCAGCCATTAGTGCTTTTCCAGATCATCGACGCCTACGAGCGTCGGCCCAAGGATGCCAATCAGGTGCGTTTGGATTGAATACTCTTTCAGGGTCAGGGATGTATCGAGATTCATTTCCCATAGGTTATTGGCACTCTGCTGGGTCGCTTCAATAACAAGCACGGTCGCACTGAAATCACCAACTGTTTCTCGGTTCTGTACAAGGAGAATGGCGGCCGCCTTGACCTGAATCTCGGTTATGCCACAGACATGCTGGAGCTGAACCAGCTCACATTTCCTCAGGAGCGCGTGGTCGGATGGTTCTCCACCGGGAAGGCTGTCTCGCGATCGGCCACCCAGTTACACGAATATTATGCCAAGGAATGTACAGAGGGGCGGCCGTTGCACTTGCTGGTGGATGCCGCCCTGCGGGGACAGCGCCTCTCGACGCGCCTGTACTGCGCCGTGGAGATGGGGGTGCCCGGCGGCACCAAGGGTCTTATGTTTTCCATGCTGCCCCTGGAGATGGCCAGTGGCAGTGCCGAGGCGGTGGCCCTGCGTCTGATGCAAAAGCAGAATTCGCACTCGACCAACAAGCAGGTGGGGCACATCCTCCCGGAGTTGGTGCAGGTGGTTGATGCTACGCGGGACCTCCAGCAGCGTCTGGACCTAGTGCTGCGCTACATCAACGATGTCCTGGCCCGGAAGAGACGTCCGGACAATGTAGTTGGACGGGCCCTGCATGATGCTTTGACCTCTGTACCCATGGTGGACTCGGATAGCTTCCGTATGATGTTCAATGCCAACGTGCGCGATATGCTTATGGCCATCACGCTCTCCACGATGATCAAGACCCAGTTGCAAATTAGCGAGAAGTTGTCCGGAATGCCGGATCAGGATCTGGACTCCCACCACTCCAAGTTTAAGTTCTGTCAATAAAGAACTGCATTCCCGGGGCATTCCCCGTTTCGTATGTGGAAGCTTCCACCGCGTATTATCAGTTATTTTCAGTTTCCAATCGACATTCATTCTCCTGTACTCTACTGCATAATCCGCTGCTTATCAATCAATTTAAAAAGTTCACTTTCTTTTTCAAATGACTTATGGCTTCGTATGACCCTAGGACGTCCGCTCGTCATTAATCTTTGATGTTGAGTTAATATGTAGTAGCAAGTTCGGTGATATATTTTACCAAAATAATAATAATAATAATTTCAAGGAAATGCAATTTGTTATAGCGCAAGTTTAGAAATAGCCCAACCAATTATCCATTCGTACCTTATGTAATGTGAAGTATACTAATTTACAAAGTATACTTTAGAGACTAGAAAATTCTAAACTTGTATTCAATCAATTATTACTTTAGCTTTCATTCTGATATTTTAAAATATATATACAAAAGAAAATTCGACCTAGGAAGTATTCTAGAGAATACTTTAAACTATCTCTAGACTTTTGAAAATATATAGACAGACCTCAAATGCATTGCTTATCTCTTACCTTTAGTAACCTTTAGAAGGGAATAATATTTCTTAACCTTTAACGATAATCTTGTCCCTATTGTTTAATGTTAATCAAAAACACTGTATTAAGGTCATCACTTTTCCATTTGATGATCTCATAAAATTGATACTCGCGTCCGAACTTTAGAACCTAGAAACGCCCTGATAATGAGATCATGTCGAAAACAAATGCTATTGCTTGAGGCTTCCCCCGTTGCTGAACTGCATCGGAAACCCTTTAGAGTGATGCAATCTGAATGTGGTTTTTTCACCACCTAGTTCCTAATAACCGGCACATCCTTTTCCGCTGGACAGAATCCAATTTGGCCAACTCCTTAAGCCTGTTTTGGGGGTCGAAAGTCAATGGTGAATACAACAACAGGGAGAGAGCGATCTGGGAAATCCGAATCCCGACGAAATGTTGATAAGGTAGCGATCTATTTCGGGGCGTGGCGGTGAATGGCAAACAGAGGTTCAGAGGTGGAGGGACTCCGAGATGCGGACCCCCCAAATAACGGTGATAAAGACCTTATCGCGGTTCAGGGACAGTCGACGGCTGTACGCCAGGGTAATCAATTAGCAGACACCAACTGCAAATTAGCAAACGTTGACGTTGACCGTCGATAGTACATAGCCCCCGCCCTTTTCCAATGAGGCTGATGCTGATGCTGAGCCCGGAGTCACCGGCTGTCCCCTCCCCTCGGCCAGACGACTCACTTATCGCTTAAGCCAAAGCCAAGGGCTATCGGTGCGCCCTGGTCGCCCCTCCTGATAGCCATCGCCAGCAGCGGCGTTGGGTGGAGCGGATCGAATCGGAGCGCATCGGACCGGACCCTCAGACGTCCGTAGACCCTCGAGCCGATCAGACGTTCTAAGTATTAAGATCACCGACGGACCCTTACATAAGCCCCAAATCGAGTGTCTATAATGCCAAGTCGTTATATCTTTCGTGCTGTTCAGGCTATTCAAACTTGAGTTTGTAGAAACTAAGGGGTAAAAGAACTACCCTCAGCTCTCAGCCCTTACCTCCGGGTATTTGATTCGGTCTTGGTCCCGGTACCCTTACCAGTTCCAGTTCCCAAGTATTATGTTCTCGCTGCTCCATCACCCGCTCGTCTGCCGCTGCTGCTTGATAGAGCAGCCGCCGCTTTACCACAGCCTTCATGACGCCTCCAGCCGGTTGGCCGCGGAGTTGAAGGCTCTGGCACCCAGCCTGCGCCTGGATCCTGGAGATAACCTTACCGACGTGATCTGCGAACTTTGCCTGCGCCGGTTGCACGACGCCCGCGACTTTCAGCGCCGATGCGAGCACTCCGAGCAGGAGCTCCGTTCACGTCACGAGCACTGGAAGCAGAGGGTAGAAGTGGGCGACGTCCTGGCCCTGGACGATGTGCTCGAGTGCCTGGAGCGTGAGGTGGGCAGCCTGGAGGGACCGGCGGTGGCCACGCCCCTGCAGCCTAGCAAGCCGGTGGCCTATGTGGCGCCGCTCATGGAGAGTGTGGATTTCGGTATGTTTGACCCTTCCTTGGAACGTTCCTTTAGATGGTTTTCCTAACTTTATTGCCTTTTTGCGATCCCCAGAAAACTTGGACTTCCAGGACAACTCACCTAGTCAGTATGAGGCGCCAACCTTTTGGCAATCCACCATGGATGCGGGCAGCCTGAACACTCCACACCACCAGCCGGACACCCTTGAGCCTTTCGAAGCCGGCGGTGTTCAGCTGGAGCAACCGCTTCTTCCGGAGTCTTCCGTGGAAGCAGATACAAAATTAAGTCCAAAGCCCACTAAGAAGCGGACGAAGCCCAAGGCCAAGCCTCGTCCTGACAGCCAGAAACCCAAGATAGACAGGACCACCAGTTCACCGCGATCCTTGCACCCATGCAGCGAGTGCGAGAAGAAGTTCACGCGAAACTTCCAGCTGAAGCTCCACATGACAGCCGTGCACGGGCTGGGCGAGATGCGGTACCAGTGCGAGGAGTGCCGTAAGACCTTCGCCTCGCGGCACAGCCTCCGCTACCACGTCAAGTCGGTGCACTCGACGGAGCGTCCCTTCGGCTGCCAGCATTGCGAGCGACGCTTCGTCCTGCGCACCCAGCTGATGTCCCACCTGCGCACCCACACCGGCGAGACCAAGCCGCGGATCTTTGCGTGCACCTGCTGCACCAAGAGCTGGCCCACCAAGTCGGACCTCCGCACCCACATGCGCTCCCACTTCCCGAACATGGAGCGGCCCTTCAAGTGCGATCGCTGCTCGAAGGCATTCTTCACGCGGGGACACCTGAACTCCCACCTGCTGGTGCACACCGGCGAGAAGCCGTTCGTCTGCGATTACTGCGCCAAGTGCTACCAGAGCGTGGGCAACCTGAACAACCATATGGTGCGGCAGCACGCGGACATTATCGAGGCCCAGCTGGAGATGGAGGCCATCGAGAGCTGATCCTGGTCCTGAGCGTGCTCCTCGAGGCTGCATCAAGTATTAAGGCATGGACACAGCATGAGCCTCGAGTCAGGTGCAAACATGTATTTATTTTTAGGAAATATAATAATAATAACAATATATATATACAATAATAATGATATTTCAAAAAGGATCTGCTCTAAAATTAGTTCCAGGGCCTCCAAACCAATCGAGTGCCCTTTGGATTCCAATTTGGAGAGCTGCAGCAGCTCAGCTTAAATATATTTTCAACTAATAAAGAGATTTTAAATGAATGTAAGCACTTGCAATAAAATATTATTTCTTAAAACAGTTTTTATTTCAAATACACAGAGAAAGGCAAAACCAATAGTATTAAGTTTTCATTAATTTAGAATTGAAAAAGCAAATTCAAAACCACAACTAATATCTATCTATAATATCTATCTCTATAATCACAAGATGCATAACGCCCAGACACATTAATATGCAGAAGCAAGTGAATGCACTTCTACAACTTTAGAGCCTGCACACAAAATTTTAGTGTAAAAAATTGAATGTTGTTACACATCTTATTATAAGATCTTTGGTCCCAGCAACCGAAATTCCAAAAGAGTGACTTACAAGTCCGATAAGAACATCAGCAGGTTCACTGTGCCTCTTCTTAGAGCAAACAATGTTGATAAATCATTTTTAAATGTATGAAACTAATAACAATTAATTAGTGTTATCCAAAACCTAATAGTTTTAAATAGTTAAAGGTAAAAGTAAAGTAGATAGTAATCTGAATGTGAATTATATTCATTGATATAACAACTACTAAGATGAGCATTTTAGCTAAGTAAATTATTGCCATACATATATGAGAAATATGTTTGTGTTTTGAATTATCCTACTACCTACCGACTTGCGAGAAGTTAAATTACCCTTTACCATACATCATACTGTAATTTAGTGTTGATAACTAAAGTTTATAGAAAAGATTAGCAAATCCCTTCCCATCTAGCTACTTTGTTTTATTTCTTGCTTTCTGTCTTCACAACTACCCTAGGTGCATCAATGAATGCTGGCTTTATAATTGCGCAATCGAGGATCTGACAAACATTTCTACCGGCCGGCTGTCTTATCTCCCGTCTCAATGTCACAATCCGCAAGCATTTGATTGCCAAACGGAGCTGCCAGCAATTCAGCGAGGTGAAAGCGGCAAGGCGAATAATCAAAATCAAAGGTGAAAAAATCAAACAAACACACTTAAAATAGAAATCGTGAAAAAATGCGGTATAAAAATAAAAACAAAGCTATAAATGGGCTGTGCCAATGTATTCCCATGCCCAGCATCAGAAGAAATTATTAAACTAATGTTGCATATTATTTATACGACATATACATTTATGAAATAATTTGCAAGGTAACCTTATTATTTTTAAAAGAAATTTAATGTATCCTTATAAGCCAAATGGTAGATCTAGTTCAAAGACCACTTAACACTCCTTAAAATCCTAGATTAAGGAAAATGCAAATCTGTGAATGAAAAGCTGCAAATATAATACTTATGTATAGGTGAATGAAATGAAAGCAGGTATTACTTCATTGTTTTTTTAACACAAATATATATAATTTATATGGTATGGATTCCTAGGCATAGAATTTCTATCTGCAAGTTTATATTCTGCAAGTTTATATACTTCGGCGTGCCGAAGTTAGCTTCCTTTCATGTTTTATCTTAAGACCTTTCTAACACGCTTACCTAAATAAAAGCGCAAAACTGTAGTTTTACCTTATAAACTATACAAGTCCATACTTGCCCCTACTTGGAGATATGGGATTCAAGTTTATGGCATAGCGGCCAAATCTAATCTGAGTTACATCCGGGTCTTCCAAAGCAAGTTCCTGAGGAGAATTACTGGTGCTGAGTGGTTTATTCGGAACACTGACCTAGCGAGGGACCTTAAAGTTCCCTTGTTAGGGGATATTATCAATGAACAAGCCGAACATTACAAAAATAAGCTCATGTCTCACCCAAACATTCTAGCCAGGAGACTTGCGTCTCGGCGGGCAAGGCGGAGACTTAAAAGGATTCGTCCCTCGGACCTACCAAGAAGGAAAATTTATTAAACACTAACTAAACTCCCTGCCACTTGTTACTTCTTCACTTCTTACACTTTTGTAATAATCCAATGAACTCCTCCGCTCACTATTGCATAAGTTGCTACACTACAGTAATTTGCAATAATAAATTCAGTCAAAATGGAAAAAAAAAAAAAAAAAAAAAAAACCTTATAAACTTATTTATAAATTTAGAATGAATGGAAGTCTTTAAAAGTACTTAATTCTATGATAAAGGATCCCAGTATTAGTTCAGCACTCATCTCAGGGTCTTATAAAACCCAATTCAGGGCTTATCGCTGACTGGACTGGGTCTATCTGCACGCGTGAATGGGTCTGTGCGTGTGTGTAGCTATTAAATAAAATAATCAAATATGTACACAAATCATTAATATTAAAAGGAACGATTGACAGAGAGGGGCCAAAGAAGGGGCGATTCCACGGCAAGATTGTAAAAAAAAGCGCAAGTAAAATTTTCCAGTATATTATACAAAGATGGATTACCTTTATCTGTTCACGTTTCTACAACAAAGTAATAAAGATCATATGCTTCAGATTAAAAAATGCCTTAACCTTAACTCTTAAGTCTTCAAGGCATAAATAATTTTCATACATATTGTTTGCTTACAATTACATTTTTAAATAATGCAAACTAAAATTAGAAATCAAAGTATGTATATCTGTTCAGGCTTAAATTTTTTTCAGTCGTTCGTATGTCTATTTATTTAACACAAAGCTGATTTAATAAAATAAACTTTAAAAAGTTAAAACATATACTCATATCTCGAGCTTTAAACATAAATGAACTTATGTTGAAAACGTATAATGATTTATAGAGAATATGTTAAATCATAAGATCATATGCTTCGCATGAATATACATACTTCATTTTGTTATTTTACAATACTTTAAATAAGATCATTTGTTCCGATTTTTAATTTGCAAACTTAATTAATTAATATAATAATAAACATGTATGTGAATTAAATGAGTAAATCATTGAGTTATCTGTTGGGGCCTTGAGTCTTTCGGTACAGGCATCGCAAGAAGTTTGATGAAGCAGCCCGAAGGAGTTCTTTAATGTCCCAATAAACGGTTTAAATTCGATTAGAAAGAACAAAAAATGCCACCTTTAGAGTATTTAAAATCCAGTGTTTTTCCACATTCCACTAAGGCTTAATCTTATTTGAAGCCCAACTAAGATGTACTTGTATTATCAGTGGCTATCATCAGAACAAATGCCCGACTGTCTGACCGTAAAAAGGCAAGTGTGGATTACGATAGTCCTAATCTACTCACCACAACCACTATAACTATATAATGCCCACTGAATTTTGACTGGTGCATGGAAATTTGCTTCAATTACACAACCACACAGCAACAATTATGCACTTGCTGAAACCTTAGATCAGTTAAGTGTTAATCTAATTAACTTTGATAAAGACGGAGAGATTGAACTGGGGAAGTGACCGCTGGCCTAGGTCGGCGATACGTCGGATGGATGTGATTCATGCGAAACGATAACCTTGTTTCAGGTTAGACTATATATACAAATATATATCTCCTGGCATTTCCGCGAGTCGGGCGTTACTCACTCGTAATGTTTACACATCCGGAACGTGACCGATGGGAAATGAAGAGGAGCCTGCATCTCCTCCAGACATTGACCCAATCAAGGCTTTTGTCTCCGGCTCCAACGGAGTTCGTTCTTTCTTCTCCAAGCAACATACGTGCTTTTGGGGATTCTCAGTTCCAAGGTAGGGTTGGACCCACCTTTCTTTAAGCAACGATTCCGATCGATGATCCGATGTGCGTACTATCTTTGTTTTGCGGATCTTATCATTCAATTGTATGTTGAGGTCACAAAAGCTTGATATAAATGTTAAAAATTTAATTTGAGGAGTTTTTAAGTCGGTGCCTGGTGAGAATAAATATTGTTCTTAAATGTATAAAAGTTAGTCTCATTTACATACATTTTTAACAAATAAGAAAGCCACTGAAGATTTTTTAAACCTTGGTTCCCCTGACTCGACTAACTACATATTTTATGCAAAGGTGGGTGCCATCAAGATGTAGATATATTGTTTAATAACACTCTCCAATGTTTAAATTAATCAACATTTTAAGATAACTTTTATAATGGAAACGTAATATTATCTAATGAAAAAATATTACAAATTTCATTATTAAAAAGGTAAAAGTGAGGTAAAAAAGAAAAAATGCAATTCTTGTTATAAGTTTTACATGATTTTCATAGGAATGGCTGGAGTATGTCAGCAGTAAGCAAGAGATAAGAATCTTAACACCTTATAGAGTCTCCAGGATACAGATGATTGGAAGGAAGGATAGACTAACAGAATAAAATGGCTATAACGACGTAGTTTCTGATATCGATGAATAATATAAAAACTTATGTATTTTATGGAGTCCAAGATGCCTCCTTTAGGTATTCGAGACAATTACAGATGAATATTTCACATTTCAGGGCAGTTTATTTACACCAACAACAATTTAGTATGTACATAACATTCTTTAAACATTTAACCACACAATTGTCAATCCCTTGCGGAGTCCCGATCGAAAAGAAGACGTCCCAGTTGCACTTGCTGCTGGGCATACGAGTTAAGGACGGGGGGATCATGGCCGACAGAGCCACCGATGCCACCACCTTCCGGAGTGACCGACTGACGGACCAACTCCCGCAGACTTGCCGATATCTTGGCGGTGCGGAAGCGATCTTCGTGACGCCGCTGGCGACACTCGACGAAGCGCTGCGATTGATGACGCTTGCGCTGTATGTCCTCGCGGAGCTGGTCCCTCCTCACCCGCTCCTCCTGCTGTCGCTCCCGCCAGTGCTCCTCGTGCTGGGCCTGCTCCACGTAGTTGTCGTGCTGCAGCCGCTTCAGGTACGCCTCCAGCAGCTGGCCGCGCAGCTCACCGGCCCGCCGCAGCCGCTGGGTGAGCCGCATGCAGATGTCGCGCTTGCGCAGCGTCTCGTCCAGGTGCTGCTCCTCCTGCTGCACCGTTACCGCCTCACTGCGCCGCAGCTCCTCGCAACGCCGCTGGCAGAGGTTCAGGTCACGCTCCAGCCGCCTGGCCTCCAGTCGCTGCTTCGCCGCCGCATCCTTGGCGTCCAGTGCTCCGCGTAGGCGCCGTAGCTCGGCCAGATCGCGCTCTGCCAGGGCCTGGAGCCGTGCCTTGGTTAGAAGATAGTCCTGGAACTGCTTATCGTGCACCGCCTGCTTATATGCCTCCAGTTGCTCCACGCGCAGTAACTGTCGCTCCAGCCGCTCGTTCTCCCAGTACTTCCGCGCCAGCCAAGCAGTCTCCTTGTCGGCGGCCTGCTGGCTACGCTTTCCCGCCATCCGATTGAGTATCTTCTGATCATGACTCGGCACCTGTTGAAAGGCAGCACGCACCGTCGGGGCCAGGCACAAGTTGGCCATTGAGGCGCAGAGCGAACTCTTCTTGGCTTGCTGCGAGCCCAAGGGCACCAGGGCCATATTGTCCTGCGACTTTGACTTTGCCCTTCCAGTGATGGACAGGGCGGGAGCGTCGTTTAGAGGACCTAGAAATTGCTGTGTTGATAGTGAATAAGTAGTAAGAAAATTAATAAGAATCCTAATTTAGACCGCTCAGATAGAAACTAAGTATTTTTAATAAACTTAAAAGAAATGTATTTTTGGATATATTTTTACAATTTAATAAATAAAGCATAATTTCAGCTTAAATACCTAAAGAGTAGTGTGATTGAACACTGATTCCTTGGATGAACATGTTCACATCTTTATTTTTTTTAAAGAGAGAATTCACTCAGTTTGCAAATTGATAATCAGCACTCTTAGAAAACAGTGAGCAAGGAGCAACTGAACTAAAATGAACAAGTGAACAATAATTAAAACGAAAGATATACATTGGGCAAATGAACAAAAATAGACAAAATGAACAGTAAACTTAGATAAATAAGTGAACAAAATTAAAGAACGGAATAGAACTAAGTAGAATTGCACAAAAATGAGGAGGAAAGGGAAATTGAAGAAATTAACAAAAATTAGCTAAATAAACTTGAACAGTTTAACTAACTGAATAAAACTGAGCAGAATTGAAAAACCGCTCTAGTTAGTGAACATAATGAACAATTTAAAACAATTAGGAAGGGAATAAAATTGAATAAAAATTAAAAAATAAAAGCAATTGTACAATATGAATAATTTAATGTTATGAGGAAGCAATATATGGGAAACTCATGGGAAACCTATCACTACTAAAAACAAAGAATACATATGTACATATAAAATTTTTGATTACACATGTTTTTAATTCTTTTATCAATACTTTTAAAATTTATTTTACTCTAAGAATATTTTAATTAGTCGAACTAAATTTTCTTGAGTTGACTATGCTAAAGAATAATAACTAAACTAGTTTAGAAACAGATTAAATTTGTAAACATTTTCTAAATTTGCAACTTTTATTTTCGTACTTACTTTAAGCATTGTGCAATCCCTTTGAGCACCGCGTCGTTGTCGTGCCGGAGGCTTGGACTCCACTTTATGGGGCTGCTCCCGCTCCCTGGACTCGCTTCTGTGGCTGCCCGCGCTTTTCGACCGCCTGCTTCTGCCAGAGGTGGAGTCCCTTTTCTGGCAGTCAGCCGATCCCCGCCTGCTCTGACCAGACTTCCCCTCCGTGGGCGATCGGGAAGCACTTCTTTGGCGCTGGCGACTACTGCTGCTCCTTCTCACCTTGGCACTCTCCCGGCACTGTAGCTGCTCCAGGACCTGGATATCCTTGTCCAGCTGCAGCAGTTCCTTCAGACTCTCCTCCCGCTGAATGCCCGCTCGCCCGCTCACCGAACTGCTGCTGTGGGAACTGTAGCAGTCGCAGTGGCAGATCTCACAGCAACTGTCCGCCAACTCGAGCTCCTCCAGCAGCTGCAGATGCTCGGCTTTTGACTGGCCATTGGCTTTGCTCCTTGCCCGTGACTCGCTGCGACCGCGTCGCTTTCGCTTCGGTGTCATGGTGTTGTTTTGTGGCACTGCAAGTATTTAACCCGCATTAACGGCAGGCGGACCAAGTCCAACGGGGTCAAACTCTAAACTGGCATCCAAAGTGGATCGTTGTCCGGGATTTATTTTGATGCCTGGGCGTAATCAACCCAAATTCCAACGGCCTGCGCCCTGCGGCCTGTGTCCTGCAGCGATATTTCCGACTGACTTGTTTATTTTTTCATTGATTGGTCATACAGTTGTTGTCCTTGGCAACGCCACCAGCCCACCGCGACTGAGCCCTAATCAACCCCTTTGGCAGTTTTAGAGGTTTAGCCGAAGGTATTTCTGTCTGCATTTTGGCCTCAAGCACGGGGAATGCGGAAATTAGCACCGTCAATTAGATACAGAAAGTGAAAGGTCTCGGAAAAGTGGTAAGCAGGCAAACAAAAATAAAAACACAAACAAAACAAGGACACCAATCCTTTCCCTATTCAGTCAGTCAATGGTCTCATGGATAATTGCTACCTTAAAGCACATTTTTCATGTTTGAAATCTTATTAAAAATAATTATAATTACACATTGTTGGGGGTAAATATATTTCATTTGTATATATTTAAATTCTTTTACACAGAGAAATATATCTATGTATCGATATATGTATGTATATCAATAATTAACACTTGACGAAGAAATACAATAAATTAAACAAAAGTTCTTTACATTTGAAAAGGTTGTTTTTCCTTTTTTGGGACGATTGGGGAAGATCCACATTTTTACTATATTGTTGTTATATGTATATACATCCAACTTGAACATTTCTACCTAATAATTTACAATACCCGCGAGTTATTCTAATACTGCAACTGCACAACAAATAATAATAACAAAAGTTACGACAATAACATGGTATACATGGAGAGTTTAATGTATAATAAGTAATATTGCTGTTCACTGTGTGAGGTTAGTTGAGGTTGAATATCTGGCTGCAAACGGATCAAAAAGGGGAACAGCTCAAAAGCCTTCTATTCAAAAACCAACGGTATCGAGGTAAACGGAAGCACCGGACACGACGGCTCCAGCTGCAACGATGTGGCAAAGCAGTCGGCCGATGCATGGAAATCACCCAGGATCTCCATTACTTTGCCCAAAGCAAACCTGTTGAATGAGTCCAAGTGATATAAGATAGAAAGCAAACATGGTTATGCCTTAGCTTACCAAATTTTTGGGCAACTTGGATCCAACTTGGCTGCATCCTTTAACATTTTCTCAGCCAGACGGGGCTCCCCCAAGATCAAATGAGTCTCGCCAAGAGCCCTCAAGGCTTCAATATGATTGGGATTAGCGGCGACAGCATTAAGGAAGCATTGCTTGGCGTCTAGCCATTGCTCCAAGTATACATGTATCTGGCCGCGCTGCAAAGAGAAAAAAGATAGATTTTAAAACTTTAAATGTATATAAATGCATAACGCATTGCACCACTAACCATAAACATAATTTGATGCGAGAGGGGATATATCTGGGAAGCTTCATGTATGCAGTTGAGTGCCTCATTGGGCTGATCAATACGCATATACACATCAGCCAAAAGCAGCCAGATCTGAAACAAAACGATATAATAACCAGTACTCTCCAGGAAATCTCTACTCTCACCCACCTCAATCTGAAGCATCCAAGGTCGTCGTGGTCCAGGACGCTGGGTGAACGAGCTTAGAGAGCTGGCCGCTTCACTCAGAGCTTGTTCGACGCGCGAAACTGCTGCCAGGGATGCGGCATACACGGAATCTTCAGGGGTTCGAAAAATTGTAAATATAAGTATGATTACAATAATAATAAATCAGCACAGGAGAATCATACAACGAAAGGTAAGAAAAGAGAGGGTTAAATCTACTTTAAGCAAGACGGCATATCGTAAATATTATACAAAAAAGACTAAAAAGGAGAATGAAGAATGCAGCAAGCGCAAATTAATTAATCCATCGGTTACATGCTAGTTATATAGAAAACAAATAGTCTGGGGTGCTTCAAAAATTACTGCGGCATTGAAACCAATTGAAAAGGTATTCAAAAGTGTAAAATTCAATATTCTATGGTTAAAATGCATTGTAATTGGTTTCTTCTGAAAACATTATGTTATAGCAGTTGATTTTAAATTCCAAAGGGGTTTTAGTAAAAATCGGAAAGAGAGCGAATTGAAAACAATAAGTAACGAAAGCAAAAATGCAATTAGCATAAAGTTCGGTACCATTAAGAAATGAATGGCAAGCTATGGCAATCCAGTTCGATTCGCATGCATTCTGGATCGATTATGGATTAAAACCGAGGGTTATTTTTCCCTTGGCAAACTTACAATCATTTATGTTATGTACAATACACACACATTCCGCAGAGGTTGGGATAGACGAGTGTATATACACACAGAACATACACATTATTAGAGAGAGACAGAAAGAATTTGATAAGTCAGAGATGCGGGTGGCAGGAGCAAGTGGCTGGGAGCCGGAAAGCCTGGGACTAAGGAGCCTAAAAGTCTTACTTGAATCCTTGTCGGACATCTGCGACGAGTGAGCCAGATGAACGCCGCTCTTGGTGTCGGAATGCTTCTCCTCCTCACCCGCTAGCTGCGCCTCATATACGTCCCTCCACACGGCCAACATGTGCTGCACTGTGGCCAGCGCTGTTTCCGCATCCTCTAAATGCAACTGCAAGTGTGCTTTGACGTGCAGCAGCTGCAGGTTGTCGGGGAACTCGTGCAAGGCATCATCCACCACACCCAAGGCCTCTCGCGGACGCCTGGATGCGGTCAGCAGCAAGGCGAACAAGTGCAGGCATGGAGCGTGCTCCATTCGCAGCGCCAAGGCAAAGCGTATGTGAGCCAGCGCCTCAGTAAGCTGTCCCAGAAGTGCGTACTGCAGCGACAAATAGTACTCGGCCAGATGATCGTTACCATCTTGCTGCACGGCCCGCTCAAGGGCCTCCAGGGCCAGCTTGTGGCAAGCATCGCGCTCGCTTTTCAAATTCGACTGAATGGCCAGTTGCTGGTGTCCAATACCCACGAAGAGCTGGCTACGCGATGGCCGAAGACCTACAGACAGACAGAAGTTCTTTAAATTTTAACTCATCTGAGATTGAAGCCCACCCACCTTTCACTTCCCGCTTGAGCGCCTGGTGCGCGTAATCTAGGCCCTGCTTGACCGTCTCTAGGCTCTCGTAGCAAAGACGAGAGGCCAACAAGCAGGGTAGCGGGTCGCTCGGGGTCAGCTTCATGGACTCCTGCAGGACTCTTAAGGCTTGCGAGTGCTTCTCGGCGGCCATCAGGCTCAATCCGTATTGACGCCACACGTGCTGCTCTCCGAAGCTGAACTTGAGCGCCTTCTCAAAGGACTCGTTTAGGAGTTGGACGAGGCCCCAGCGTACGGTAGCCAAGGTAAGGAGATCGTAGACGGCCGTCACATTGCCCATGGCGTGCTGTCGAGCCTGCTTGAACTCCGGACTCTGTGAAAGAACTGTATCCCTGACAGCTAGAGCCTCCGCTATGAGCAACAGCAGAATGACCTCCTCCTGCTGATTGCGCGGATTGAATTGTTGGCGGGCCGCGTACTTTCGCGGCTTCCACAGCTTCTTTGACGATCCTCCGCGCAGCGTCCCGCCTCCGGACTTTCCTGCGAAGGGCGGGGCATAAATAGTACCAGACACTCCCCTTAGCAAAACCTCGGCGAGTTGACGGGCGAGAGTAAGGCGTAGTGATTGGGTCGCCCGCGTCTCAATGGCGTTCAGCATAATACGATATCGTTCGACAGCCTCCTGCAGCTTTTCGGTTTTAATCAACACAATGGGCGCCCGCTGCAGAGCAGTCTCGAGGATGGCACCCATGCGCCGGTTTACCTCCAAGCCGCTGGGGCCGCTCGCCGGAATGGTGCTGCTGATTGCGAAACTGCTGCTGGAGGGCTGCACACTAGAGGCGTTGACGTTAAGCGTGGAACCAGCCGTTGAGTTGTTGGAGGAGCTGTTGCCACTCACAATATCATATTCCTGCAGGTATAGCAAACCCAGATCGGAGGCGCGCTCGAAGCAGCTTATCTGGGAAAAGCAGAACGTTATCGTAAAGTTCGAAACCGTGAAAATACAAAATCCACTCACCATTTCAGTGTCTTTTTCCGCCTTCTTGAACTTGGATGACGGCTTCGACGATGTCTGCTGCTCCAGACACAGACCCTTAATTGCATACGACTCGGCCAGGATCTTGAGGCTCCGCCTACGTTTTACAATTACCAATAATTGAGGTTTTAGAATCTACCTTGTATCCGTAGCTAAATAACTTACAGGGTCAGCTCCTTTTCGGCTAGAGTGTTCAGCTCCGCCTTTACAAAGTTCTCCAGGCTCTGCTCATACTCACCGCAGGCGAAGCATAGCTTGGCCAGCAGCAGATAGGCGTCCAGAGCGATGCCTGCCTTCTGGCCGCTCTCGCCCAGCGCCAAGTTAAGGTAGCGCCGGGCCTCTCCCAAACCAGACTTGGCCCGCCCGAATGTTGAGTCGGCGGCCACCAGCGCGTTCTCCTCTAAGTAATTCTCCAACCGGGCCTCGCCCACCAGAAAGTTGGCCAGGCATTCTGCATCAAGGAGGGCAGAGATTTATATCAAGTAAGTGCACCATTAACCCTCTTGCCGCCTACTCACCGTTGTGCGGCGAGCCCGTCTTTAGTTCATCCGTCAACTCGATGACGCGCTGCCACTTGCCCTCGCTACGGCAGCTCTCGATTAGAGCCTCCACTTTAGTGGTGTTACGCATGTTCCTGTTGGCCATCCGTTCGTCCGTCCAGGCCAGGAAACTGGTTGGGTGCGGTGCTAATGGAGCTCTCTTCCGGCTATATAAGCTTCAGTGTGGTCTGGTTCCGCTCCTTCTTGCTTATAGCATATTTCGATGCTAATTGAATTAGCTCATAAACATTGAAGTTTTTCGTGTTTTTACTCTTCTTTCGTCTAAACAGTGTTGCCAGATAGTATCAATAAGAATATGAACACATATGGTAAGAGCGGCCTATCGATATTGAATTGGTACTTCGAATACTATCGCCTCTAATGTGGCTTTTCCACCACTTTTCATTTGTCAACTATCGTGAAAAATCATACATCGATGTGGTTATAAAGACAAAAAAAATTGACTTTTTGCCAAAAACAAGTAAATGAAGATTAATTTTTTCTTTCACAACTGCTACTAATGGATTTCTTACAATAGTTCTACTAAACGCGTATAAACAATCATAAGATTCGAATTTTTGCATTTTAAGTATTTTAATCGACTAGTCGATAATTTTACTATACAAATCGAGTGGTCGATAGGAGTATCAGTATTTACCATTCCCTATATCGAGTGGGTCTGTCTCGCTCTCCTTGCTCTCCTCGTTCAATTTGTTAAAAGTCGCGAAAATTGAATTAAAATATTGAATGAATTAAAGGTGGAAAAAAATTGATTTGATCAAGTCCGAGTACATTAAAAAGTTTTTGTGAAGTGTTAAACGACCCAAAGCGCGGACTTTTAGCGGTAAGTTAAGCCGCCTAGTGTATTTGGATTCAAGCAAAGACATCCCCTGCAAACATGCGTACGGCAGCACACAAATACGACCCGTGCAAATGTGTTTGTGACGCTCAGCTGTTTTTGGTGTTTCTTTTGTTGTTGCACAATCAAAGCAGCCCAGCTAGGGAATCGACAGAAAGTGAGAGTGATTTCAAGCTCTGTGTGTTTCTTAACGTGCACTTCACGCTCAATGGAAAGTTGCTGCGTACATTTTTTTTTTTCAAGTTCAATTGCCTTTTATTTTTGCTGCCAATTTCACGCATCATTTGGGCAATCAAATTTATTTGGTCCGCCCCGCCCCCTCGCTATGCCAGTCATCGATAACTTTTATCGCGTGCTCGTCAGATGTCAATGTTAATTGCTGCCAGGTTTCCATTTTTTGCGCTCTTTTTCGCTTTTGTTTATTTGTAGCTTGTCAAAGCCCTGCGAAATGAGCGTCCCATTAGCGATTCGTGGCATGTACCAACAATAAAATAACAAATTTCCGAGCCACATAAAAAGTAAATGTTTAGGTGTTTGGAGATCAAAGTACCCTATACTCGCATGTCATATTTGTTTCTGCAGTTGTACGTTATATATGTACATACATATATACATTTTATTATTCTATAAAATATACACGTGCCGAGGAACAACCGACACCGGCCTACTATTCAGCTGTCAAAATGTTTATGTACCTCAGCTCTCATATAAATATGAAAATATTGACTTCAACGAAGAGTATCTCTGTTTATATTTTTCACAGTGAATTAAAAATATATTAAATGAATTAGTTGAACTTCTCCTTCTTGAACTACATTGTGTAATAAGTTATTACACTTACGTATGTCAGTTCTGCCAAAATAGGCAGTCTTAAAAGTGTGTGTAAATCTTAAGAAATCGTTAAATATTTGCAAATTAATAGCATCTCAGGCTACCCATTCGAGTGCAAAACTTCCTTCAACAGGGTTAGGGTATCGGTTCCCCTAATTTTCTTATATTCCGCTGCTGTGATTTTCTGCAATTCTTTTAAATGATCCCACAAGTGTTCAATTGAATTCAAACCCGGAGATTCTGTAGAAGTTTGGCCCTATTAAATGCACATTAAAATAAGCGCGAAAGACCATTTAAAGTACCCCCCCCCCCACTGCTTGCCTGTTTCCTATTGCACTTCTCTCTTTCGATGATATTCTCTGAACTCCCTTCTCGATTCCCCCATTCCATCACATCCGATGGAAGTGGGGCAGCTGAGAAATTCTTTTAAACGCGCCAAATTAAAAGCCAAGGCGAATCAAAACAAACCCCCCAGGGCCCTCGGCGGGTCGTAGGGTGGCACAAGGGAGAAACAGCAGGAAAGAGAGACGTTGCTTTCGTCGCGGTTCTGCCTGCTTATGACGTAATGACAATAATTACAAGGCAAGAGTTGATGGCAAATAAATGGGGGGAACGGGTAATGGATAAGAGAGGGAGCCAGAAGCAGCTGAACTCAGGAGGCGATGCTTGAGCACAGTGGGCCAGTGAGGTTAAAATAATGGTTTTTGTAACATTTATAATTTTTTAATATTTCGTCATGTTGGTAGTTATATTATTCTAGGATACGACAAATTATATTGAACTTAAAAAAAGGAAGCTAACTTCGGCAAGCCGAAGTTTATATACATACCCTTACAGATAGAACTTCTATGACTAGGAATCCGTACAATATAAATTATATATATTTGTGTTAAAAAGCAATGAGGTAATACCTGCTTTCATTTCATTCACCTATACATATTATATTTGCAGTTTTACATTCACAGATTTTAATTTTTCCTCTACATCAAACGATCGTTTGTATGGCACCTATATGATATAGTCGTCCGATTTCCATGAAATTTGACACAAAATTTGAGACTAATATAAAATGGCTATACCTCAAATTTGAAAATCTGTTGAAAACTGAAAAAGTTATAATTTTTAATTGTATTAATTTCTCGATCGTTCCTATAGGAGCTATATGATATAGTTGTCCGATTTTCATAAAATTTTACACAAAATTGTAGAGTATAATTAAATGGCTATATTTTAAATTTGATCCATTTCTATTGAAAACTGAAAATGTTAAATTTTTTTTGTAAAAATTTTCCGATCATTCCTATGGCAGCTATATAATATAGTCGTCCGATCTGGCCCGTTCCGACATATATACGAGTGAGAGTATATAGAAGGCTAACTACAAAGTTTCATTCAGATAGCTTTAAAACTGAGAGACTAGTTTGCGTAGAAACAGACAGACGGACAAACTTCTGACTGAAACTATAATACACTGCAAGGGCATAAAAATCCAAAACTGTTTTTGAACTTACTTATTTTTAAGAAAAACAGTATTCTTAACGAGTTCAATTGTTGTACAAATTCAAAAACAAATGATAATGATTTTCCATAGCCACGCCTGGTACTTAAAACCATGAGTTAAGGTTAATTAGCTTTGCAACCCCAATAACTCAACTTTAACGTCCAATCTTACTAAAAATGTTCCGAAAACACCCGTACACCATATTCAAATTCATTACCATCTAAACTTTGAATTTATAAATTTTATTGTTACTTAAAAGCTTATGGATATTTTTTAAAACAGAAATATATCGTTTAAATCTTCATTTTTCAGCTGTACCTCTCTGAGATCCGTAGACTTATACAAATCTACGAATGTATATATTCCTCGAGCACCATTTCTGTACCGAATATAGAATAAGGCAGCGCTAATAACTAATAATCATTTCATTGAAAAGTGTGCTAAAATCAAATAATTAAATTTATTGCAAATTCGAAATTTTTATTTCAACTTCAGGCCCACTGTTAAACTCAGTTGTTTTTGCTGAGCAGGGGAGGCCTTTTGCCGTGGCAGCTGAGGTGGGTGGCAAAAGGGAGATCTGAATGCAGAAGATGGAATTGTAGAAAACCACCGCATCAAAGGCACCCACATGCACATGGCGATTAAGCTCAACGGTACTCAAAACCCAAGAAATGCCTTCCTAGGCGCGAAGCCTACAAGGGGAGAGAGTGGGACAAAGAAAGTACTTGGCAACCTCCACTGATGTGCCCCCTACATGCAACTAAGAGAAGAAAGAAAAAAATGTATTTAATTAAAGCAGTTGGAATTTATGATTCTACCTATTTTTTCATCTCTAGTGTTTGTGGATTATTTTTTAACAACAATTTAAAGGCCACATTTTGTTAATTTAGTTGTTGATGGTGTTATTTCAACTTTGCTGGTGATATAATAATAGGTAGATACATACATATGCATATAACTTTATTTTTTCAATGTGCACACAATTTTGTTTTGCTTCCCCCTTTTTGTCACTCTTCACTATCCCAGTTTTGTTTACTTTAGTTCACTTGTTCTTAGTTGTTTGAGTTGTTGCTGCTGCTGTTGAAGGCATCACGTTATGCGCCTTGTTTGCTGTTGTTGTATTTGTTGCCGTTGCTCCAGTTCTTGTTTGTGCGATAGTATTTTGCCAGCAATGCTTTGTTTCTGCTTTTTGGCTTGTTGCTTTTGGCAAACGTCGACCAGCTTACCTAAACCCACCTCTCTGCTCCCATTAACCTGCCACCTGGCAGAGGTCTACTCGCTAGAAGGCGCGCTCTTCTTTCGCGACGTCACATTGACAGCCTTGCCATCGTCTATTTTCTATTTTGTCGAATCTCTCATCTCCGCTCTTCTTCGTTTAGCAGGCTTTAATCCGGTCAGTCTTTTAATAAAGTACAACAAGGTAGCAACACCAGGGCAGTCGATCTAGACATGTTGCTATGTCTATATAACATAGGAGTTGATTTTTAAAGAAAAATAGTGTCTTAGAAATACTGAACAACCTATAATAGACTTGTCTTAAATAGATTAGCTAATTTTATTTGAGAAAGTAGGACAACTTATGCAAAAAGACATACTGATGTATACATAAATATTATAATTTTGACTAAATTTTCGAAGCCACGATAAGTTCCAATAGGCAATAAGTAGAGTAGAGGACCCACTTTAAAGTTACATAATTGAAAGGGTTTATTTAAATGTTAATCTGTAAAAAAATGTCTCTTATCAATTATCAAATCACTTATTGTATGCAGATATCTGCGGACATATGTACATATGTATTTAGGAAACCTACAATGCTTTAATTAACCACCGGGTATCCCATTGTCGAGCTTTTAAACTAAACTTTAGTCGTCAAAGCGCCATATTTTGCTTTGTCTTCAAGTCACGCGCAGTTCGTTTTTGGCTTAACTTCGGCACGTATGTAACTCTTTCATACATACACCGTTTTTTCGTCAGCTAAATGTGCTCCCGCTTCCTTAGAGCCTTTTCCCCTGTCTCGATCCCTTGAATACGCCATTCTGAAAAAAGGGGCGCACTCTTCTGACACGATGTCAACGGCTTTGGTTTCATTTGGCTCTTTAAGGACCTTTAACTTTAAGCATT